ACCTCGGACACTTTTCATTGGCATTCTACTTTAAATATCAATAAATCAACCATAACATATTAAATTAACTATAACTAAGCGGAATCAGATGAACTAGACATATCTATAGCTTCTTGACAAGTTCGCGCATTATGACCAGCTTTTCCACAGATCCCACAGCATCGCCTAGACGGTTGCCCCTCCTTGCGACTACCCCCAACCGCACGTACGTCGCATCGTACCTGCTCATCCACATCCTTCTGTGTGATAATAGCCTGTGCATCCTCTACTATAAGTGCACCTCCTTCATGGACACGAGCCTTTTTAGCCCTGCGGCGTTTGCTAAGGGCTTCGTTGGCTGCTCGAAGGGTACGTACCTCAGCAGACAGAAGGGTGTTCTCATGTGCTAGTCGCTCCGTACCCTTTGCCAATGCAATAACTGTCCCGAAGAGTGGAGTTGGCGAGCTTCCTTGGTGACGGGCAATTCGATTTCGAACGAGGGTTGTTTGTGAAAGAGCTTCAGTTGGGTTGGAAGGGGTCTGGGAGACCCAAGGGTTGGTGTTGGCAGTAGAGGGTCTGGAGGGAGTTGGAGTCCGTAACCTCACGTCAAGCTTTGAAAGCACTGCTTGCGGGTCGAAAGGCACTAAGCCAGCTCCGCGGAACCCGGACTGGGCGTTTTGGGCTGTCATGGATTCCAGATATGCTGCTCTAAAGGCGAGAAAGAACTCGACCTTGGTAATGTGGTTGATATGAGCCTTAATGAAGGTCTCAATCTGCCGACCATATGCCCGCTTCAACACACTAAAGCACCCGACATCAAGTGGCTGAGTTAAATGAGACGAGTGGGGGGGTAGTCCAAGAGTTATAATGTTGTGTGCCTTGCAGTACTCTTGGAACTCGGCCGATTCATGACTCTCGTGCCCGTCTAACACCAGCATTCGATATGGACCCCTTGCACGAACAGCAGTATGTTTGTCGAAGTGTTTCAACCATTCTAGACCCATCTCATTGTTTGTCCATCCATTGCTTGTCGGTTTAACAACCCAGTTGTGTGGAAGGCCGCCGTCTGTATACCAATTTGCAAGATGATTCTTGCCTTTAACTACCAAAAATGGAGGAATACTCCAGCCGTCACTGTTGATACAAGCAATCGCTGTAGCCCATTCCTGATTCCCTGGCTGAACTGCCTTACCTCTGCCAAGTCGATCTGCATGGGTAACAACCATTGCAGGGCAAATCACACCCATCATAAACCCAGTTTCGTCAAAGTTATAGAAGTCGCAGTCCAAAACACCATATTTTGCCCTCATATTTTCCACTAGTCGAAACCACGCGCCAATTAGTTCAGGATCTTCGCAGAGTGTAGAATGAGGTACTTCATAGAGCTTAGCAGCCTTCCGACGACTTAGATTTTTTGATGTTCGGATAGCCTCGATAGCTAGAATGATTTTTGCTTCTTGGGTAATCACTGACATAATAAAAGGTGGAAAAAACGCGTTGTGAAGTTAGAGGGTAGGAAATTCGGGAAAAGTGTCCGAGGTACTGATATGTCCGACGTACTGATAAACCACGTTATATGAATACAAGATTCCACTCCAATCCCAAAAATAAACTCAAATCCATCACATCAGTGAAATCCAACGCCCCTCTTCTCTATCAACCTTTTCCATATCTTCTCTATCTCCTCTCTAAACCCTCCTATCCGGCACCCTCTCCGTCTCCTTCTGAAAAGTCTTCTCATCATAATCCGGCTCCCCCACCGGCTCCTCCGGCCTCTCCGCCCTCTTATTCAACCCCCCCCCCTTCAAGAAGTACATAAACTGCTCCAGCCCATACCTGGCAAACAGCCTACTCTTAACCCCAAACACGACATCCAGCTCCTCGAGCGTCTTCCCCTTCGTCTCGGGTACAAGCATTAACACTCCGAAGAACCCGATTACGTTCCACGCTGCGTACCAGCAGAATGCGCCGGTCGGTCCGAAGGCTTCGAGCAGGGAGGGCCAGGTGATGGAGAGGACGAAGTTGAAGAACCAGGTTGTGGCTGTGGCGAGGGACATTCCCTGGGAGCGGATGTAAAGCGGGTACGCTTCAGCGGAGTAGGTGAAGGGCACCGGGCCCTCGCCGGGGGAGTAGACCATTCCGAAGAGGTAGATCCCGAGGGCGATACAGGCAATCCTCGCCATCGAGGTCTCAGGGATCAAGAACGAGAATCCCGTGAAGAAAAGCGCCAGCGCCATTAATGGGAAAGTGGTCAGGAGTAAGTTACGTCGGCCGAAGGTATCGATGGTGTAGAAGGCGGGGAGGGCGAAGAAGAAGTTGATAGCGCCGAAACCCATTGAGGCGCCCAGGGCGGAGAGTTCCGAGAGGTTTGCCTCGATGAAGATCTCCGAGGAGTAGTAGGCGATGATGTTGACACCGCAGAATTGCTGCATGAACATGACCAGCTCCGAGGCTTGGAGGGCACGGCGGTTACGCGGGACGGAAATGAGTTCCTTGGCTTTGTTGCCCATGTTGCTTGTCTCGAGCTCGGCGCGGACGAGATATTGAATGTAGAATAGGTCGCGCGCCGCTTGCACTTTGCTGAAGCGGAATTGCTGGATCGCGGTCCAGGCTTGGTGGTGCCGGCCCTGACTGATGTACCAGCGCGGGGACTCGGGACACATGAAGACGAAGCAGCATACCACGACTGCGGGGATCATAGCAGAGGCCATCATGAGACGCCAGTTCATCCCGGAGACGCCAGACGGGTCTTTGACTTCGTACAACATCAGATCAGCCGCGTACCCGATGAAGATCCCAAACGCGGTGAACATCTGCCAGCACATGATTAAGGCGCCACGAATAGGCGGCGGCGCCGTCTCAGCAGCGTAGATGGGCACGGTGGCGGACTTGGGACCGATGCCGAAGCCGAGGAAGAAGCGCGCGACGAACATGTGCCACCAGGTGTTGGCGAAGGCCTGCCAGAAGCAGGCGGTAGCGGAGAAGAAGCAGGTCAGGAAGATGGTGCCGCGGCGGCCGAACCAGTTGTTGAAGGGGATGGTGAGCCAGCAGCCGATGAAGGCGCAGCAGAGGTAGGGGCCTGAGTTTAGGAGGCCGACGAGCCAGGTGGAGCGGGGATCTTTTTCGCCGATGCCAAAGTGCTGTTTGTAGAAGATTTGGGCGCCGTTGACGACCGTTTCGTCTGATGGGGGTTAGTCGCGCGATCTCTTAAAAAGTATCATAATTGGAAAAGAAGAAAACTCACCCATTCCCTGCACGGCCGCACACAGCGAACACAGCAGAATAACAAGATACAGCTTCTTGGGCTGCCTCCACTTGTGCTCCAGCTCATCGGAAAACACCTTGATCTCATCCTCAGTCAGTCCCTCAACCTCGCGGAACATATTCGGGTCCTTGGCCACCATAGCCCCGAGCCTGAAGGCGCGAACATCCTCCGCCTCGCCCAGCGCAAACTCTCGACAGTACTGCTCACCCATGTCGCCGACCTTCTCGACAGGCAAGTTGCCAAGCGGGTTGGCGAGCTTGAGATTTAGCCTGCGGCGCGTGCGCTCCTTCTCGTCGGTGATGCGGGCGAGCCTCTCATCTTCTTCCTCTTCTTTATCGGGCTTGCTGACCACGAAGTCGTGGCGCGGGCTGGAGGGGTCGGCGGGGGAGAAGCTGGAGGAGGGCTCGCCGGTGTTTATGCGTGTGGGGACGGCGACCTTATTGCTACCGATTGGTATGGTGGTGAGTTTGTTGTTGGGGTCGTCCATGTTGGGGTCCGCCATGGTTGGCATACGTATTGGGTGGGGGTTTGTTTGCTGAAAGATGGGATGGATGAGAATGAGGGGAACCACAGTATGTATGTTTGTATATATGTTCAAAAGCAGATGTATCAAAGGAAGGAACGATATGATAGAGAAAAAGAAAGTAAAACTGCTTAGCGGTGCGGGGTTCCACTAAGTTTATATGTTGACAATCCGATCATCAGTTTTTCGATGGATAGTCTCTTACGCCTTCTGGTACCTTTGACATCATCGAGGGAGTCCTTGACGGGGGGTGGTGATGTGGGGAAGTAGTAGGGAGAGTATCGGTAGTCATTGGTAGTGACTTTTATGACTTTGTAGATAGTAGCACTACTTAGTACCATAGCAGTGATTGTCTTGTAGTCATCCGGGAATGGGAGGGAAGGGGAGGGAAGGGGAGGGAAGGGGAGGGAGGGAGGGGGGAATGTTTGGGGTGAGAGAGTCGTATACGTATACGGTCCTATCGTATACCGCTGATGACCCGCACTCCCTTACGGAGTACTCATGCTATCGAATGACATTCGGGGGCGCCAAGAAGCGCGCGGGAAAGATGGGCAAACAAGAAAAGAGGAAGAGAAGCGCACCAAAGCAAGACTACCTTAGTCTTAGGTATGCCATGCGATACAGTACAAGCGATCCAGGGCCACTGAGTGGGGACCCCGCATCCGCGGTACTCACCTGGACGAACGAGAGTGAGCTTTTGGTGGCGACGTCACTATATTTGATTTTGGTGGTTGCGAGGGTGAGGGATGGGAGAAATAGAGCCGATTGAGGCAAATCGGTGTGTCTTAATGGAGGGGTGGTGACGTCGTGGGTACAAGAAAAAGAATAAATTGGAGATTGTGAGAGTGCACTAGCCATACAAGTGTCCCTTGGTCTAATAGTGAGTCGAGTCGAGTACAAAGTGCCGGAGACACTAGGGAAAGCACTATCTGAAATCGTTAGCAGATCCAATCCAAGCACAGGAAATTGAGACTTGGTGATATTTCGGCGGTCGTCGCTCTCGCTATCGTTGTTGTCTTCGACATATTAAAGATTTTAATACTGAGATAACCCCAAGAAAAGGAAGAGGGGTGCTTTAAGTTCTGTCGTTCTGTGTCGTGGTGGTTTGAAAATTTCCCACTCTTATGCACTTCGTTGTTTATAGCTAGCAATGCCTTGCGCTCTACTCCCAAGTATTGTGAAGTAATCGAGAGATTATTACTGACAGCTTTCTAGCTATATTCCAGGCGGCCGCTATCCTGGATGAATCTCAAGCTCAAACTCCTTTAAACTCTCCTTTTGTGCCTGAGCAAACGTCCTCACATTGCATTGCACCTCCTTGATATCCTTGATTACCTGCTCTGGTAAACTTCTAATGATATCTTCGATATCTTCGGGAGAAAGTTTGAAGGAAGGCGGCGACCACTTGTCAAAATATTCGGAATAGGAGCGACCACAGAGTCTCCATTTTTGCGAATATCCTCAATTACTGAGCTGACAACGGAAGGCACATTAGTTCGTACGCTGCTGCTTGATGCAGCCGTGCTTAGAAATCCTGTCTTTAAATAATGGGGCATCTTGATGTTTTGATGTATTGGGTGGGTGGATGTCTGAATAGAAACTGACGTGAGTTGAAGCGATGAGGAGAACTTAGGGTTCTTTGAGCTATATATCGATCTAAAGTCAGGATCGATAAAATATATTAATTATAAATTAGGGTCATTTTCATATCGGGATTATCGTGCACAGGTTATCCGGAAGGGTATGCGCGGGGTTGTGCGGGGGCTTATTTGGGGTTATGCGGGGGTTCATGTTGGGTAGAGTCTCGATAAGACGATGTAATCCATCCCTTAGTTCAATATCGTCTTATCGAATATATCGTTCAACTGAATGTCACACGATCAAGGGCATGTAACAAAGATATGTCCGACTTATCTGCGCCCTCTTGCTGTAGCTTCCATAATCTGATTTTTTCCTGCAGGGGATCAGACACAAAGGCTTCAAGTAACACGTTACTAGTATATAACAAATACTGTATTGAGTTGAGCACGAAGCTCCTATCTAAGGAAATACTATCTACTTATATAGTGGCGTCGTGCCTAGTGGACTCTTGGGAACTCACTCGAGTCCTCAGAGTCCTGGACTCTTAGGACTCTTCTCATCATCCTGCGAGTCCATCACGTGCCTAGTGGACTCCTGGGAACTCACTCGAGTCCTCGGAGTCCTGGACTCTTAGGACTCTTCTCATCATCCTGCGAGTCCGTCACGTGATACTTTCGGAACTACTATTCCCCGCTGCCCCTCCAGGTACCAGGGCCGGTCTCATGCGACCTCCCTCCTTCCTGTCCTGTAGTTGGCCAGCCTTCTTGTTCCGTCGTAACATGGGGGGGAATTCGATCCGATTCCAACTTCGAAAAGACATCAGTGTACCTCCGGTGCATATGCGGAAGCTTCTGCTGGATGAGGCGGAGCGTTTCTTCGTCCTCTACCAACTCCTTTTCATGAATGATCTGATCGATTTCGTAGATGCTAGTCTGAAAAAACTCGGAGTCGTTTCGCATCATCTCGTGGTGGAAAGCATTTGCACTGATTTCGCATATATGCATGGGCGCAAACCTATGTACTAGGGTTTTCTGCGGTGGGGGAGAAACCTCCTGGTTTCGTGGTGGGTTCGATGGCGTATCAGTGATCTCTTCGTAGTCGGAAGTTATCACTTTCATTTCCATCGAACGTCCGCCTGCGCGGCGTCTGTCTTCGCGGTGGATTGCGAAATCCCGGCGATTCGCATCCGACTGGTATGCAGGATGTTTAATGGACGTTTCGCGTGAGTGGTAGGGCAAGGTGATCTCCTTGCTCCAGCTAGGAGTCGGCAGGTACTCCTTTGGCCGCGCAGGCGGACGTTCAATGGAAATGAAAGTGATAACTTCCGACTACGAAGAGATCACTGATACGCCATCGAACCCACCACGAAACCAGGAGGTTTCTCCCCCACCGCAGAAAACCCTAGTACATAGGTTTACGCCCATGCATATATGCGAAATCAGTGCAAATGCTTTCCACTTTGCAGAGTCGAGTAGTATTCGGAAGTGGCTGAAAAGTTTCTTCCCAATTATCACATCTTGTGCTCCGAGGTCCAGGAGTACAAAGGGGCAGTTATATATTCGGCGTCCTTCGACTGTTAAGTGTAACCGAATATACTCCGATACGTGGCCTTGGATTTTGCGCTGAAATCCACATATGGGTACAGAGTAGGGTAGTTTCCGTATAGGGCTCTGAAGCGCTTTCGACAGTCATATTGTGAAAGGCTTGTTAATGACGAGGTAGCCGTTTGCTCCTGTGTCTGCTAGGGACTTCGTTTGCACCCCGAGTCCATTCATACTCAGGGTCGTGTCGACTAAGAACTGGGTGCCTCCCAGGAGTTCTCGTAAGTCTAGTCCTCGCAGGTCACATTTGCGTAGACCTAGGAAGGAGCCTTCTCCTAGGCCTCATCGTTTTCCTCGAGGGACGCATCCGATTGAAGTTCCACAGCTTCTTCCCATTGTTCTTCTGCCTCGGGGTCGTTACGGTCCATTTCCTTGATAGTAGCGTTAAGGGGGCATTTGTCCTGGAAATGGCCGGGCTTGCCACACTTGAAACAGTTCCCTGAGGGCACAGGGACTGCGGTTCTCACACGTTCCGGTATGGCTGGCTTGGGGAGGAACGCAGTTCGGGTGAACAGAGCAGATGTGGCTCGAGTCGGCTTCGACGCCGACGCCTTTGTCGTGTCCGTGGTACGTGTGGACGTCCTTGCGAGAGCGGGTAGCAGATTCAATTCGTTGTTCCGGCGCCGTTCCTGATCGAAGGCGGTAAGTTCTCGTACCATGGTCTGGTAGTCTCCATTCCATTGGTTTTTGATGATCGCGATGTGGCTGCGGAATTGGGGAGTCAACTTGTTCCACATGTACTGAAACCATTCCGACTCGGAGACTTGTCCTGTGATAGCTGCACTTTGGAAATGAGCCTTGAACTCTGGGAAGGTTTCGCTAGCATGCCCTTTCTCTCCCATTTGCAGGTCGTCGAAGAGGTTCCTGGCCTGCTCCGTCTCGTTGCCTGTGAGGTAGTATGAACCTAGTAGATCCATCATCTCCTCATATAACTAGTGAGACCACTAGGTCATGAAGGCTCATTAGGTGGTGAGGGGTCATAGATACCATTAGGTAAAGGATGGTTAGGACCATCGGATGGTCTACCATTAGATAAAGGATGATTAGAACCATTGGGTGGTGAGGGATTATCTCTACCATTAAATAAAGGATGATTAGGACCATCGGGTGATAATGATAGAGACATATTTGCGTCAGTGGTTGAGTGTTGCAGTCACCAAGTAGCAAGCGAAGGGGAAAGCGAAGATGAAGGCGGCTACTTGCAACACGCGACGCGCCACGCGTCGGGTCACGTTGGGCTTCAAACTTTATTAAGCACCATGTAGAGCTCCGGACACGCTTCCAGCGAAAAATACGACTACCAGAGGGCTAAGTGCAAAGATCCAGAAGTCATTCGTGGCTGGTTTGAGCTTGTATGGAACACAATTCTAAAGTATGGCATCAACAATGCAGATATCTACAACTTTGATGAGACTGGGTTTATGATGGGCGTCATCTCAAGCGCAACGGTAGTAACGAGCTCAGATGGGCGGGCAAAGGCAAAAAAGGTGCAGCCTGGCAATCGGGAATGGGTTACAGTAATCCAAGGCGTTAGTTCTCAAGGTTGGGCAGTGCCGCCATTTGTCATTGTGGCAGGTAAAAACCACCTTGCATCTTGGTATGAGAATAGCAGATTTCCAGCAGATTGGGTAATCGCTGTTACTGCAAATGGCTGGACTACAAACGAGAGAGGTATGGATTGGATTCAGCATTTTGAGAAGCACACAAAGCCCCGGAGTGTTGGTGGTTATCGCTTGTTAGTCCTGTTACGGCTATAGTAACATGATGTCATGGTTACAGGGCCAGGGCCTAGTAACGTGACGTGTGAGTCACAGTGGGAAGCGGGGTAGGCTGCCATGTGACGGGGCTAATGGATAGTTGCAGAAACTAGTGGATATTGGATAGTTGAGCTATCCACGAACTATCCTGAATATCTAGCTATCCGCCAACTATCCAGATTACCCATGAGGCACGACGCCACTATATAAGTAGATAGTATTTCCTTAGATAGGAGCTTCATGCTCAACTCAATATAGTATTCTTTACAATACTGTAACGTGTTACTTGGAAAGCCTTTGTGTCTAATCCCCTGCCTCCTCTGTCAAGTCAACCTTACGCAAGAAACCTCTGTGTCTTCTATCGTTTAGAAGTCAGCGTTACAAGTCCTTGATGGTCATGAGAGCCACCACTCAGACAAGTTTGAGGAGTACTGCAAAGAACACAACATTATTACGCTTTGTATGCCTGCTCACTCTTCCCATATACTCCAACCACTTGATGTTGGCTGTTTTGGCCCATTAAAGAGAGCTTACAGTCGGCAAATTGAAGATATGATGCAGGCTCATATTATTCACATTACTAAGGATGACTTCTTTCCTGCCTTCCATGCTGCATTTAACATTGCAATGACAGAAAGCAATATTCAGGGAGGGTTCCGAGGTGCTGGGCTTCTTCCATTTAGCCCTGAGAGTGTAATATCTACACTTGACCTTAGGTTTAAGACGCCAACACCTCCAACCTCTCGCCCAAACACCGCTCAACCATGGGTTTCTCAGACACCAAATAACCCAACTGAAGCTGTATCACAGTCTACTTTCATTAAAAACCGAATTGCGCATCATCAAAATAGCTCTCCAACCTCAATCTATGCAGCTGTTGACCAGTTTACAAAGGGTGCATCGCAAATAATGCATCAATTAGCATTGTTAAAAGCAGAGAACCAAAACCTGCGACAGGCAAATGAAGTGCTAAGCAAGCGCCAGAGAGCTAAAAAAACATGACTACAGCAAGGAGGATCACTTAGTCAACAGGTAGCACAGGAGCTACAGGACGAGAGGGACATTGTGCAGCAAGTAGAGCAAGAAATAAGGGCAAGTAGTGGTCGGAAGCCAAGGGAAGAAACCCATGCACGTCGCTGTGGCAAGTGTGGTGAGACTGGACACAATGCGCGCACTTGTCAGATTGTAATAGACAGGTCTGAGGAAGAGTACTCCGAGTAGTTTTAATTAATTTATATTGTTGTGGTGGATTTATCGCAATTCTTATGGGGTAGTCGCGATATTTTGGCACTTTCGCTTGTTTGGCACTTTCGTTATACATGCATGTTATTTAAAAGCTGTAGATAGTGTGGAATACAGACGTTCAACGTTGGATAATTATCTGCTTGAACTTGCTCTGCTGGTTTGACGAATATCTTAAAGAACGCCTTTAGTCCATGTAACATTTGCCATTCTATTGATGTAATGATAATATCACGCATACTTAAATCCATCGTTTGCGAAGCACATAAAGCATTGATCGGCTGCTCAAGCTTCAAAGCGTTCTCAAGCATATAATATGTTGAGTTCCATCGTACAGGCATATTGAGGGACATTGAAACCACCTGAATACCCATAGCAGATGCTTGTACTTTCAATGCATCTTTCCATGCTCGACGGTTCCGGAAGACATAGATATGCCGGCGTAGTTTTATAAGAACCATTGCCACATCTTCTTTATTAAGAACGAAGCCTTGAGTATGAGCTAAGCCTTGCTTAAGCCTATACAATTCCGTTTGTTCTGATGGTACAGCTTTTAACATAGTTAAAGCTGCTTGAACTGCAAGGTTTATAATGTGTGCCATGCATCGGACATCGCCTTCCTTTACTGTAAAGCTCCATGGTTGCTGTATAGAAATGACGCTCGTGCATGCCCCTATTTCAAACTCTGCGAGCATTGCTGTATTGTTCGATGCGTTGTCTCTAGTAATTGTAAAGACTCCGTTCGTAATACCAAAGTCGTCCGTAACAGCTTGAAGCTGCTCTGCAAGATATTCACCAGAATGAATGGGCTCCTTTAGATGTATGTGTCATACTGACATTCGTTGCACTCAGTTTGCTATCAAACTCAAGAGCAAACTTGGAAATCTCCTCCTCAAACCTACAAGTCACTATACATATTTTGGCTTATCACACCAACAACAAGAGCAATACTACTCAACGATTGCTACAACCATCTATGATTCATTACACGTCATCGCTCCTTAGTTACTGGGCCGATATTACCACATAGCATATCTCTACAACCCTCTATGATTCATTACATGACATCACTCATACTACCACATGACATATCTCTACCAACTAGAGGCCTAGGAGCATGAACGATAGCTCTAAAAGCTCCTACGAACCTCTATGATTCATTACATGTCATCGCTCTTTAGTTACCCACAAGATTGGTTAAGTTATGACATAATTTGTCTATGACATAATTTGTCTATGACATAATTTGTCTATGACATAATTTGTCTATGACATAATTTGTCTATAGGGGTACTCTGACCTTGGACCTCCTTTTACTTCCTATAGGCTACGAACCTAGGAGATGGTTCTATGGGATTCTCTTATGTCGACTACAGTTACCAAGCCTGGTTAGTCATGGAAAGTCTTGGAAAATGAGAGAACTACACTCCTTTAGCATAAATAGGATTGCCCTTTCCTTAAGAAAGGGCAAGCAGACAATACAGTAAATCGACTATCACATACTTCCACGTCTTTTCCACGCTTCCAAGCATTCATCTTGTTACTCCTTGTTTCTGAAAAGTCAGTGAGGTGTTAACCTCTGACTTATCCCTGAGTTCCCAGACTCAACATTTGTTGCAACTTGTCTGAACCACTTCACTACATCACACACCTGATTGCTGCGTTGTGGAATAGTCTAAGCTACGACCCTTTGGCTCTGTTTTCTAAGACAGTGTGTTGTCTTAGTAAATTCATCCCTTCCTTGGGTGGCTAGATTCTCACATCTGGTGCACCCACCATTACAGTATGATATCAAGAACACAGTGCCGGTGAACCCATTCGTTATTTATCCAATGAACAGTTATCGCAGCGTTGTAATGGTGGGTGCACCAGATGTAAGAATCTAGCCACCCAAGGAAGGGATGATTTTACTAAGACAACACACTGTCTTAGGAAAAAGAGCCAAATGGTCGTAGATTAGACTATTCCACAACGCAGCAATCAGGTGTATGATGTAGTGGAGTGGTTTAGACAAGTTATAAGAAATGTTGAGTCTGAGAACTCAGGGATAAGTCAGAGGTTAACACCTCACTGACTTTTCAGAAACAAGGAGTAACAAGATCAATGCTTGGAAGCTTGGAAAAGACATGGAAGTATGTGATAGTCGATTTACTGTATTGTCTGCTTGCCCTTTCTTAAGGAAAGGGCAATCCTATTTATGCTAAAGGAGTGTAGTTCTCTCATTTTCCAAGACTTTCCATGACTAACCAGGCTTGGTAACTGTAGTCGACATAAGAGAATCCCATAGAACCATCTCCTAGGTTCCTAGCCTATAGGAAGTGAAAGGAGGTCCAAGGTCAGAGTACCCCTATAGACAAATTATGTCATAACTTAACCAATCTTGTGGGTAACTAAGGAGCGATGACGTGTAATGAATCATAGAGGGTTGTAGAAGCTTTTGGAGCTATCGTTCGAGATATGTCATGTGTAGTATTAGCCCAGTAACTAAGGAGTGATGTCATGTAATGAATCATAGAGGGTTGTAGAGATATGCTATGTGGTCATATCGGCCCAGTAACTAAGGAGCAATGACATGTAATGAATCATAGAGGGTTGTAGCAATCGTTGAGTAGTATTGCTCTTGTTGTTGGTGTGACAAGCCAAAATATGTATAGTGACTTGTAGGTTTGAGGAGGAGATTTCTAAGTTTGCTCTTGAGTTTGATAGCAAACTGAGTGCAACGAATGTCAGTATGACAAGCGTGCTCTGCACCATTCATTGCAGACCATGAATCAGTCATAAGTGATAACCGTCCGCCCTTTATTATATGAGCCTGGAGTTCTATCTGTAGCTTCATACGGTGGTTGCAGAATGTCTTGTGTAAATCGCGCATCAAGGAGCTCATTGATATAGCTAACGTTGAAGGGCTAAGCTGGTGAATAAGCTGACGAAACGAAGGCCGATCAACCAGACTCATTGGTAAGTTATTAGATACAATAAATGCAAGTAATAACTCTCTATATCGAGAGGCAAGAACGGATCCTCCTACTCGAGGAGTAAAGAATTGTTGGGCATTTCGGGCTGTTCTCATATTCGGAGCGCCCTGCGAATCCTGCGAACTCTGACTCTGCGAACTCTGAGCACGCTGTAGCAATGGAGTTCCTGGTTTTATAGCTTCGTATAATGCAGGATGCATGCTTTCAACATGCCTCCACAAATTACTCGTGATATTCCATGATAAAAGCTTCGGTTTTGGCTTATAATTACAGCCATCTTGCATACAGACAATCTTCATCGTTGCAGGGCTGGTGCTTAACAATGTTCTACTGAATACATTCTTTAAGAACAACGGTGACTGAGTATTTGGGAGTTGTGGCCGTATTTGTAGTAATGGTAGAGCTATCGACGGCGAAGACTCGAATGGAAAAGGGGGTGGTAGCCGCTGAATTTCCTCATCTTCGTCACTTGGAATTGCGGATAGCTCAGAGTCGCTCATTCTGGTAGAAATATCAATTGGTATATTATCTATGGATCTATTTCTACGGATCTATCTATGAGGGCGGGGTAAAATCTTCGTAGCTTGGCATCCTGGGCCGTGCTTGCCAAGGACTCGAATAGTATGTATTCGAGTCTTTGGCAAATACTCGCCGAATACCCCAATTTTAGCCAGAATACTGCTCATCGCCGAATACTATTCGAAAACCACAAATACTAATACTATTTTGGGGAACACTGGGCATAAAAACGCGACACAACGCGTCGTGTTCACCTCATGTGCTCGTCTTAAAGTATACGTGATACACTGACGCGGCGTCTAGAATATTTGACTGAAGCTAGACCAAAGCACTTAGAGCACTGATTGGGATCGGCTCGAGGCTGAGAGCAGATGCTGGAAGTAAATTTAAGGGCACGAGGCCCTGTTGCTTCACAGAAATGCCTGGGGGTATATTTGCAAGCTCGGCCCCCCCAGTTACTAGCCAAGACAGCCCGGCCGTGAGGTGATTCGGAGCTCCGCAGCGAGGCCATCTTCGCGCATATTCATTGCCTGTAACCCTGTTTGAAGTTACCGCTTTGCCACAACCAGAAACAACTTCACGCATTGGACGTCTTCATTCCTCTACCTGCTGAAGGGGGTGACGGATATGCCTGTCTCTGATATAGCCAGCGAGTTTGGGGCTTGCAGTTTTATGGAGAATATATAGGTCTGTTGTAACTCTCAACGTGAAGCTAACCGGATGGTGACAGGGATAAGCACCGTGACTGTTCTCACAGATTGTCAAAGAATTGAATTACTATACGGCAGACCAGGTACCTGGTCGTTCATCATCCTGAAATTCTCCAGGGTGCCGCCTTCAAGTATTGTACAATGCACCCCACTTGATGACCCAACAAGCATCTACCTCGCTCCTATCAGGCTCATCGAGCCAGTCCCAGCCCCCCCTGGCCCCCAATCGTCGGCATCGGCGTGGGCGTCGATGTCGGTGTTGGCGTCCCTGTTCCCGTTGTCGTCGTCTTCGACGTCTCAGTCTTAATCTTCCGCCGCCTTGCCTTCGTGCGCTGCTCCACATCCGCCCACTGCTGCTTCCAATTGATGATACTCTGCGTCAACTCCTCGTCGTCATTAAACTGCACGTAGTCCAGACCCTGAACCTCGAGCGCGCGCAACTGGAGACGTAAGAAGTTCAGCTCCGATTCCGTGCTCTCATAGTCTGCATCTCTGCGGCGGTGTTAGTGGCAGTGGTAAGTAGAATAAGGAGGCCAGGGGGGCGTACAACTGCGAGACGTGATCTTCAAGCTCTATCACTCGCTGTGCTGCTTTTTCAGCTCGCACGACGAGAAGATCATGGATATGCTGCTCACGTCAGATCAAGCCCTCATGCAAGGTAGCAAACAACTCGCCTGTGACTCCTCCCGCCTCTCCTTCAGCTCCAACACCGTCTTCGTAAGCTGAACCAGCAGCGCTTCCGCCTCCTCCGCCAACAACGCCGACTTTGACGCCGACAACCCATTCACAGGCCCAGCCCTCGACGGCGCCCTCGACACCTCGAACATCCTACCCGAACTCTTCAAGCCTGGCGACAGCGGTTGCCAAAAGCGCTCCTCCTCCCCTCCCCTGCTCGCACCGCTTCCCACGCTCGTAAATGACTGGAAACTTGGCTGTTGCCGCAGGACGGGCGATTGCCGCAGAGTGCGCTCCATGCTGTCCGCGTCGCGATGGAGGAGGGAGACGTCACCATCGCGCAAGTCCTGCGATTGCAGGTGCGTAGTCAGGTCGAGGAGGCGCTGGATGAGCACATCCTTGCTGTCGTGGGTGAGATCTTCAGTTGCGTCCTGGGAGCGGGGACCTTGGGTGGTGGGGGAGCGCAGTTGCAGGTGCAGGATGGGGAAGTCGCGGATGCCGAGGAAGTGGAGGCTCATTATTGCGGTCGTGCCTTGTGTGGGGGGAGGTGGGTGACTGTGAGGCCCGGATGTCTGTTTTGTGAGTGTGGTATTTCACTTTCTTCCTCTCTGTGAAGAGGTCTTCTGGTAAGTGCACGGCGTGGAGCTTCTGGCCCCATAATATGCATATAAAGCTAAACCGATTGATCCAATGGTCGGTGGTGATTGTGACAATATTCACGGTTTAGACGCGGAAGATTTGATTAAACACTTCTGATACACTGAGAGGAGTACTTTTCTGGTAAAACAAAGACGATTATATTAATACTCACAAGCATTGCGAGTGTTGGCTCGTGCAATATCAGGGCAAGTGCATCTGGTGCACATTTGATGTTGTTGATAAAGACAGCGCCAAGACTCGGGGTCCATATAACAAACATCACCTCGCCGCCGGTGAAACTATTACCCGCAATCTTATCCAAAAGTTCACCCACCACAGACTGACAGCTGTGAGATGCGTTGGCGTAACATCAAAACATTGAAGTGCGATCAGGAGATCTTCTGAATCATCCGTACCCTCCCGAGTATTCCTATTGTCAAAGCGGCAAAAATAACAATTTATATCACAAAATACACAAAATAAGCAAAATGGCAGCAGGGGTACGTTGATTGTGATTGTGAGTCAAGACGAGTAACTGACAACCCAATAGGAAGATCTCCAACCTTCCCTGGAGGTTATTCGGGATGTGCTCGCATATCCCACGAAGGCTTCGCAAGCGCCTAACCTAGTCCCGGTATATGCCCAAATCTCATCCGACCTCATCACACCCTCCACTGCATATCTCAAGATCTCAGCGAGATCGGAGTCCGACTACTCGTTTCTGTTCGAGAGCGCAGCCGCTGAGCTTCTCGGTCGGTACAGCTTTGTGGGTGCGGGCCCGAAGAAGATCTTAAAAACCGGAGAAGGCCATGGCCCATCAGTCGACCCATTGCCAGCGCTGGAGGAGGAGCTCGCAAAGTACACAGTTGCGCATATCCCGGGACTCGTGCTGCCGCCGTTGACTGGAGGGGCAATTGGCTATGTGGGCTATGACTGTGTTCGTTACTTCGAGCCCAAGACTGCGAGGGATATGGAAGATGTTCTAAAGGTGCCGGAATCATTATTTATGTTCTTCGACACCATCGTCGCCTTTGACCGCTTCTACGGCGTCATCAAAGTCATTACCTTCCTGCACGTACCAGACGACCTCTCAAAACTGGAAGTAGAGTACGAGAAGTGCCAAAAAACCATCGCCGAGCTCATCGACGTCCTCCAATCCTCAGACACCCCACTACCCCACCAATCACCCATCCTGCTCGACCAAAAATATACCTCCAACATCGGCCAAGCCGGCTACGAATCCCACGTCACCACCCTCAAAAAACACATCCTCAAAGGCGACATCATCCAAGCCGTGCCCTCCCAGCGCTTCGCCCGCCCCACCACCCTCCACCCATTCAACATCTACCGCCACCTGCGCACCGTCAACCCCTCCCCTTACCTCTTCTACATTTCCTGCGCCGAGTTCCAGATCGTCGGCGCCTCGCCCGAGCTGCTCGTCAAATCCGAGCTCGGCCGCGTTATCACGCACCCCATCGCCGGCACCGTCAAGCGCGGTAAGACGGTCACCGAGGATGAGGCCCTCGCCAACGAGCTGCGCGAGTCCCTCAAGGACCGCGCAGAGCACGTCATGCTGGTTGACCTCGCTCGCAACGATATCAACCGCGTGTGCGATCCGCTCACCACCCGCGTTGACCGCCTCATGGCCGTTGAGAAGTTCAGCCACGTCCAGCATCTCGTCTCGCAGGTGTCGGGTGTCCTACGCCCCGATAAGTCCCGCTTCGATGCTTTCCGTAGCATTTTCCCTGCTGGGACAGTGAGCGGCGCGCCAAAGGTTATGGCTATGGAGCTTATTGCCGAGCTGGAGAAGGAGAAGCGCGGTGTGTATGCCGGTGCTGTTGGATACTTTGGATACGGCACCTTGGACGCAGAGGGGAATGAGGTCGAGGGCGCAATGGATACGTGTATTGCGCTGCGCACTATGCTTGTCAAGGACCAAGTTGCGTATCTTCAGGCTGGTGAGTTTGTTTCCCCCTCCCTTATTTAACGTCTGTATTTATACTAACGGCACAGGCGGTGGCATCGTCTTCGACTCCGACCCATACGACGAGTGGGTAGAGACCATGAACAAGCTCGGCGCGAGCATGCAGACAATCTCCTCCGGGGAGGACCTCTACGCACGCAGCCAAGACAAGGCAGCCGAGAAGGAAGCTCTCGAGGTGGAGAAGGCGAAAAGCTCCCGGGGCCCATATTGACTTGGCACTCTGAGTAGCTTTTTTAGATAGCACTAATATTATTATGACATGAAGGATAGCTTTTTTGGCAGCAGTGCCCCATCTTTCGCCCCGCAAATTTGTAAATTTTGAATTCTTTGTCCGTGATTCTATGGTCGTTTTTCGCCCTGTCCCTCCATCCTCCCCACACGTCAAAATGCTTGGCAGCAGCCGCAGAAGAAGCCAAAGCAAATCCCTTCCCCGGCCAAAAGAAGCATTTCACAATATTCTGCTCTGATAGCCCTTCTTCTCCCCTCTAGAACCCCCCATCACCCCACAAAACCACAAAAGCAAGCCTAAAACGTCCCTTCGCCATCCTCCCCCACAAACCCCTCCCCTCTTAACACCCTCCCCCTCTCCTTCTCCCTCCTCTCCCTCACCTTCCTCTCCCCCGCCACCCGCGCCTGCACCTCCGCCACATCTCCCCTCTCAAAGCCCACTGGCACATCATCATCCTTATCGAGGTCCACCTCGCCCAGCAACAACACGTTTTCACCTCTCACCAGAAAGGTCCCTTGCGGCACGTCCGCAAACTGCAGTGGCGGAGAGTGAGTGAAGAGGCGCTCGGATGTGGATTGGAGGACTAGGTTCGCTGGGGAGTGTTAGTTCATAGGAGCTTGAAGGGTGACGCATGGGAGCTCACCGAACTGGTCCCAGCTTCTCAACACGCCAATTAGTTTCCTTCCGTCGCGTAGGGCAACCATAAGTTTCTCTGTAAACACACACATATTAGTCTCTCTTCTCTTCCACATCCTTCTCTGCTCTCCCTCTCTGCCATTTTATCTTCACCCTCAAACGCGCCCCGACCACCCATCGTCCCTCCCCCAAAGCCACCAACGCAGGTGTGACTCACTATCAGTTAAATCCAGCAGCTGCGCGGCCGTCGTAAACATCTGCGGCGGCAACTGCTGCGGCACCTGCTGGGCTTGCATCGCCTGTCCCAGCGCCGGCGGGGCTGGGCCGCCCTGTCCCCCAGCCCCAGCGCGCTGCTCGTCGAGACTCGGCGCCTCGAGCGGCGGCGGGGAGTGTGCTTGCGCGTGCGCCATGGTGGGTGTACTTTTGTTCGGTTTGGAGGGGATTATCGGGTCTGCCAATCCATTGCGTGGGGGGTGTTGGTGGTGGTTGGTTTGGAGGTCGAGAACTGGCTGGGAATGTGAGGTTGGTGGGGAGGCAGGTTGTGTGGTGTTTGTGCTGGTGGTGAGCGTTATCAGCACGTGGTTTGGGGATATGGGAGGGAGAAAAAATGTTTGGCGCGCAGTGGCTGGATTTCCGTGGTTTAATTCACAAGCTTGCTGTGGTATTTTAGCTTGGAAGACACGGTTTTGCGATGTCGAGGTGAGTTGTTACAATTGTTAGGGCTATAAATGATTTTTTTATCTGCCGTTTTCCTTTAATGTCGCCCTGCGCCAATGCTTGCATTCATTCTTCCGTCTTTCTCTTTCTCTGCCCGTAAATCGTAGTTTAAACACCACTGCCCCACCTCCCAGTTCTATGAATCCGGCCAGAATGGTCTCTGGCCCCAGAAAGTCTTTATAGCAATAAAATAGAATATGCCCAACAACGCCGTCGCCAATGCTTCAAATAATGGTCTTGCGCATAATGCCCGTCTAGCCTTTCCCCACCGAGGCGGGTACAAAGACAGCGAGGCAGTGCTCTTCGTCAGCGTCCAGAGGACACCGGCGGGCGCAATACAGCAAACAGCCACCCCCGTAAGATCAGTAGGTGGAAAATAAAACAGCACGCAGCGCGCAGCGCGCAAAATGAGGCCCGAGGGCGAGGCAATCGTAGAGGCTCCTAATAGAGCCCCAACGAGAGCCATCACAGGTGTACCCCCCCAGCATCTCCAGCCCACGTCCCCCGTGTCCTGATATCCGCCCGCGAGCTGCAGAGGACACAGGGGAAGCTAGAGACGCCAGGTCCCCCTGCTACCGCTTGACGGTGGAGCGCTTGATGGCCTCGACGAGCTCCGCGCGAGACTTGAGGGCTTCGAGCGCGTCGACGTAGCTGAACCACTTGCGGCTGCGCTTATGGCTCTCGGGCCACACGCTCTTCTCCTCGGTGACGGTGGCCTCGTAGAACTGGTACAGGGCCTTGGGCGCGTTCTTTGAGATCTGCTTGGCCGTGCGGGTCTCGGTGATCTTGCCCAGGTCGTAGTCCACCTTGCACACTATGCCGGCCTCCTCCCACGCCTCACGCTCCGCCGCCTCGATGCACTCCTCGTCCGTCTCCCAGCCGCCTTTGGGGAGCACCCACTCGGCCCGCCGCGTCGACTGGATCAGCAGGATGAATGTCTTCTCTTTGTTCGTGGGCACGATGCCAGCGACGAGGCGCTCGCCATTGTCGCTATAGCCTGCGAAATCACAAATCGGTCAGCATAATGAACTATAAGACCCATATAGAAACGCAGCTCCCTTGCTAAGCCTGCGCTCGTTTCGTGGGCGAGGCGGTGGCCGCACTTTGTGGTTTTGGGGTTGTTCACACGACCAGCACAGCGGTGTTCGGCGCACCACCCAACCCACCACAAATTATTTGGCGACTCTCCGCGCTCATGCAGGAAGGGGCAGTTGGGGACTCACGCTGCTTGTTTCTTCCGACGCGCGACTCCATGGAGCGACTTTGCGCCATGGGGCGGATGGACAGGGAGAGCGACACCGCGCTGGTGCTGCTGGGGCGACGGTGTGTCGATGGGCGAGAGGACGTTTGCCCCAAGAGCGTTTTCGCAGGCAGGGCGGGCAGTTTTATTTTTATTTTTTTTGGGGGGGGGGGGTTTGCGGGCGGTGCGGTTTGGTCGGGTTTCGCAAGCTTTTAGTGAAGCGACATTGGTGAGCTAAAGTGTGGTAACGAGGGGCGAGCTGGCGGTTGGAGAGAGACCACGACGAGGGGCAAAGTGGGAGCTGGGGAGAGCCCCGGGGAGTTGGAATTGGCTTTGAGAGGACGGGATGAATGGTATAAATGGAGGTGGTCGAGTAAGATGATCTGAGCAGGTGGGATTTCGGAATTTCGATTTCTGGGGGCGTGGCGGTGATAATATTTTTTGGGGAGTACTTGAGTATCGTGGGATGCGATGTGATAGGCAACTAACCAACAAAAGTCTCTCTGGCGTACCCGGCTTCCACAAATGCGGTTCCTATGATGCAATGAAAGGAACTTGGTCGTTTTTAAAGTGATTATGCGATCAACAAAGATAACCCAAGGATAGGTATTATTGAGTATTGGAATTATTGAAATTCGAGGTGGTGAGCCCGGAGGGGGGGGGGTGGGGGTCTTGATAATTGACAGAGGGGCGAGTGAACAAGCGGTCTTCTTTGGTTGTCAGTCTTCATGCCTGCCTGCCCGCGTGCTCTACTCGTGTACAAGTCTAGAATAAAAATAAAATAAAGTCCCCAAAAAACTACGCGGAACTCTAGTCCTAAGGGTACTTTATTTGATGATGAGTACTGTTGTCGGTCGAACAGGTAAGAAGGGGGAGAAGTTTCTCGTCGGCGAAGGGATATGGGACATTCATCTATATAGGCAATTCTCAACACCCAAAAATGACATGCCCATGCTGAACCATGACCAGCTTCCCCACCATCTGCGGCCCAACGAAGACCACGCCTCGCGACGCCTTCTGGGGGAAATCAAAATAAGAAAAAAAAAAGAAATATATCCTGACCAGCGAACCAGCAAAACACGGCCTGCTTGCCCGGAGCTGATGCTAGATTTCCTATTGTGGAACACTGGGCGACTCCCCTAGAGCAGCTAGGAGCGGGGGGGGAAGGGACGAGTGAGGGGGGAGGGACGAGTGAGGGGGAAGGGACGAGTGAGGGGGAGGGACGAGTGAGGGGGAAGGGACGAGTGAGGGGAAAGGGACGAGTGAGGGGGAAGGGGTGAAAAGCGTATGATGATATGCAGTGTCAGTTGAGAAGGCATAGAAGGGTTGGAAGGCTTTGCATCTTGCATTTGTCGTCCATCAATGGCCATCGCAGGCTGAAGGCAGAAGCCAATCAAGGCAGGAGCTGGTCCGAGTATGACTGGTAGGTCGTTGTCAGTATGATTATCAGTTATGATCGGTATGATCTGTAGACCCATCTAGCACTTTTACCACATATCAGGGACCGCCGCCGGCTTTCTTCTGCTGCTTCCATTTCCACTTCTACCCCCCCACTATCCACTATGACATGTATTGGGAAGGCCGGCAAGGCACTGTGCAACCTTGCACTACATGAAAAGTACTATACAGCCGCCGCATTTGCCTCCCTGCTTTAGACACTCTAGTCCGACAGCAAAGACAATATTTGGCGTTAGTAGAACAGTTAGTCCAGGATCATGCATTAAGAAATCGAGAGACTATCAGGGTTCCTCTCGTCTATGTGTCGCCTCGGCCGAACTGGCCGCGTCGGGGCTCTCGTCGACCATCTTTTGTGATATCAGCCATCCACCGTGCTCTCGGCGCGTCGACGATATCATTCACGGAAGTAAGCTTACCCACATCACACCCGACACAAAGACGCCGTACCACTCTAATACCTTCTACCTTCTACCTTCTACCTACATTACCCGCACACCCACGGCGAACCCCCGCACACCTGTGGATCCAGCAAAAAACAATGTCCTCGCCGACCAACTCCAACTCCAGCATCACCACCGTGCCCGAGGCCGTCCTCGGCCCCATAGGTCAGCCTCTCCAAACCCTAATTCCGCCCCCTGAACGTTGCCTCTCCTCCATTCATTCCAGAACGTGGACACATCCCTTGGATGACGTCCGCCCCTCCCACCCTCGCGCATACATACCCCGCGGGGCCTGCCGCCGTGGCGGCATGCACGCCATACTTTCAGGATGGCCTGGCCTGGTGCTTCTGGTGCTGGCTGCTGGCTGCTGGCTGGAGTAGCCCCCGCGCTTCGGCTGTACAGTACTCTAGGTGATGATCTGCTGCGTTTTCTGGCCCCTGGGAAGAAGGCGTGGGAGGCGTGGCGGAACCCCCACGCTGGGATGCTGGTCCAGAACACGTCAGACATTCTGTCGTCAGAGGTTCTGTGCCAGCGAGCAGCAGTCACGAGGAGAGTCACGGGATCTAACAAGGGATTGTTTCCCAAATTGAGCTTGCTGCTTGTGGAATTATTGCTGATGGGAGACGTCGTGTAGGTTACCACGCGCATTCATGCGGATACTGTAAGAGCAAGGCCGAGCGTAGGTCTTCGGGTCGCGGGTCTTCAGGAAGTAGGCATTCATCTCCGTTCATCTCTGCTTTCAACGTTAGGTTCCCATTGTCATTTCTCATCGGAATCTCCGCTCAGTTTTAACTAGTCTGATTCTTATTGGTTTCATTTTCCTACATGCTTCTCTCGCTGTGAAGGAAGCAAAACTCATTCTTCTGAACAGGCCCCTCTTACTACGCTTCCTCCAAGCACCTAATCCCCAGGTTCTATGAAGACTTAATATGTAGAGGCTGGAGGCGCTCAGGGACCCTCCTGTACAAACCTGACCTCAGGAACGCATGTTGTCCCCATTACACCCTAAGGCTGGATGCACCTGAATTCCGAGCCACCAAAGACCAGAGGCAGGCGCAGAACCGCTTCAACCACTACATCCTCGGCGATGAATACATCAAAGAGACGGCAAGACTACATCCAAAGTCCAAAGCCGAAGCAGCAAGGTACAAGCAGACCTTTGATCTCCGCGAACGTGTCCACGAGAGCGAGCTATCCTCTCTCCAAGGGCCAACAAAACCCGCCCACGACTTCACAGTCACGCTGGAACCAGACACTTTCACAGAGGAGAAATACCTCCTCTACGAGAACTACCAACGCATCGTCCACAAAGAAGGACCGGATGACATAGCCCGTCACGGCTTCCGCAACTTCCTCTGCTCTTCAAAGATAAAGCGCAGCACAGAGACCGTTGACGGCAAAGAGAAGAAACTGGGCTCCTACCACCAATGCTACCGCCTCGATGGCCGCTTGGTAGCCATCGGCGTCCTGGACCTCCTCCCCAACGCCGTCAGCGCGGTGTACTTCATGTACCATGAAGATCTTCACACGTGGAGCCCTGGAAAGCTCAGTGCGCTCCGCGAAACGGCTCTGGCGATCGAACAGGGGTGCAGATGGTACATGATGGGCTTCTATATCCACGGCTGCACGAAGATGAAGTATAAAGCCGACTATCACCCTCAGTACATCCTGGATCCGGAGAAGTACACATGGGACCTCCTCGATGACGACCTCAAGCTGCGCATGGACGCACGGCGCTATGTCTCTCTCTCCTCTGAAAAAGCACGGGGTATCCCCGCGCCAACCAAAGAAGAGGCCGAGGCCGCCGCTGCTTCAAGGTCCGTAACCCCCCTTTCCCCATCTTCCCACCTCTCCAGCCCCTAACACCTCACAGATCCCCCCCTCCCACCAACGACGACGACGACCTCAACCCACTCTCACAAAATATGCCCGGCGCCCTAACCGCCCACGAGCTCGCCACCTTCGACCTTGGTTCCCTCCTTCGTCCCTACGGCCGGGGCGCGGTCATAAGGTTCAGGGATATAGAGGGCTGGGAGGGGTATCCGGTGCCGGGGGATGGGAGGACGGATGGGGAGCCGGTTATTAAGCAGGCGTTGGGGGATTTGGTAGCGGTTGTGGGGATGGAGTTGGCGGGGAGGTTGGTGGTGGATTTTGCGCAGAGGTAGGTGGGGGTTGTGGGATAGGGGATAGAGGGGGCGTATATGGAGATTTGGGTATGGGTTGGTTTTTATACCACGTCGTATTTTGTGTGTACCATGATTAATTTCTATAGGAACTTTCAAATTATAGATATGGAAGGAACGGTTACCAAGCAAGCCTCAGTCGCAGCTTCCCCGGGGCTTCGAGTTATGTATATGGAAGGTATGATTATCAAGCAGGCCTCAGTCGCAGCTTCCCTGGGGATTTCAAGTTGTAGATATGGAAGGAATGATTATCAAGAAAGCCGCGGTCGCGACTTCCTCGGGGATTTCTCTATATTTATATATGGAAGGAATAATTATCAAGCAAAGCCCAATCGCAGCTTCCTCAGAACCTCAAATTTGGAGATCGGAAAGAACGGTTATCAAGCAAAGCCTTGGTCGTAGCTTCCGATATGTTAAAAAATCTGAGGCTATACGTAGCTTGTGAGAATGCCATCTCTGGCCTCGTCCCTATTATTTGGCAGAGGTTTTACTGTTGAAGCGGCCTCGACTTCATCCCTCCACACATCTGATATCGATCACATCTCAACCTCAGCCTTGCGCTAAAAGGCTGCACCACGCTAACGAAATAAAGTCCCCAAACAGCCCTTCAACACCTCCTACCCCTCCACCACCACCTCCCAAACGCGTTAATCTACACTCTCCCTCTCACCGACTGCTACATACCCCTCTCATCGCGCGCCCACCCCCGCGCAAACCGCCAACATGGCACCGACCTTTACGCAACTCCTCCTCCTCTCCCCCGCCGAGCTCTCCTACCTCCACACCTCTCTCTCCCTCCACCCCCCCCTCCGCCCCGACTCCCGCACCGCAACGCAATTCCGCCCCCTCACCGCCGAGACAGACATCCTGCCCTCCACCAACGGGTCCGCGCGCATCTGCTTCGCCGACGGCACCGAGGCCATCGTCGGGATCAAGGCGGAGGTGGAGCGCACGGCGCAACAGCCGGGCGCGGGCGAGGGATTCGTCGATGTGGATGAGGAGGATGAGGAGGGGAGGGGGGGGAAGAGGGGGGGGGATAATAAGTGGGTGGAGCTGAGTATTGATATCCCGGGGTTTAGGGATGATGATGCGATGCCAGTTGTGCTTTGCTCGATTCTGGCGGAGGCGTTGTTGGCGGATGGGACGTTCACGCCGAGGTTGTGGATTAATCGGAGGTTTCATTGGAAGCTTTATATTGATGTTCGTCTCCCAAAGTGTCCCCATATATGAAGATCGGGCCCGCTAACACCTTACAGATCCTCCTCCTCTCGCCCCCGCTCTCCTACCCCCTCCCCCTCCTCTCCCTAACGACCTACCTCGCCCTCCTCTCCACCCGCCTCCCAGCCCTAAAATCCGAGCGCGACGAAGACCCCCTCTTCAACGACGACTGGGACGCCGCTGTCCCGCTGTACCCGCGCCACACCAGCACCTCCCGTCCGCCCGTCACCATCCTCGTCGTCGCGGTGGGGGAGAACGTGCTGTTCGATCCGAGTAAGGAGGAGTTGGCTGTTGCGGATGCGGTGCTCGCTGTTTCGGTTGCGGATCGAGCGGCGCTGGGTGGTGCTGGTGAGGGGGGGGATGTTGATATGCAGGGTGGTGAGGGGAGGAAGAGGGATATTAGATTGTTGAGTGCGCGGACGATTGATCCGCCGGCGAGGTTGACGCCGCCGGGGGTGCCGAATTATCTGAATACGGCGACGGGTGGAGATGCGGCGGCGAAGGTTGAGACTGGAGGGGAGGAGGGGGTGTGGAGCGCGAGGAGGGGAGGGACGGGGAGGGAGATGGTGAAGAGGATGGTGGGGAGGGTTTTGTCGAGTGGTGTTGTGGAGGAGGTTCTGGATGGGCTGGAGGCGGTTGAGGTTGGTTAGTTAGGTGGTGTCACTACTGTCTGTCTGTCGTAAGAGGGAGTAAAAATAAAGGTGCGGAGTTTGGGGATACAGTAATCTGTAGAAATACAATCAAGTCATTACATTACATACATGGCACGACAGATATTGCACAATACACATGTGGTTTAGTGTCAGTTTCTTCATTTTTGATTTGCTTGCGCTGGTAGCGATTGGTCTCCATATCCATTGATCATAGTAGGACCGCGAAGTCGAGGCCAAGGGACGATGCAAATCGCGTAGCTATCTCTTCCCACTTCCTCAGCAATCGCATCAAGGACATCTAACCCCCTCCCCACGCCAGACAACCAGGTAATCACCCCCAGATAGTAGCACCCCCGTCCCATCAACTCCGTCCAGATTCAACTCCGCAAGTCGCCCTGCCTGCCTGGAGAAGCAATAAACATCCGCAACGAAAACCATCAGCAGGCTCGGTCTGGCGCTCCTCGTCCCACCCCAGCTCATCTCATCTCTCCCAAGATCCTCCTCATACCTCCTCCCCGTATCTCTGTCCTCCCCTTGAAGAAGCTAATTGTGACATAATATACATCCCCTCGTAGCGATGGCGACAACTTTACCGAATCCTATAAATACAGATATTCCTCTCCCTGCTCCACCGTGCCGTGCGTGCATGGTTTGAAAAACTGAGGGCCGAGTTCTTGACGTGGGTCGGCGGATCATATAGCAGTGGGACTTTGGCGGTGCGCGGCGCGCGGAGCCAGGGGTGGCAGCGAGTAATTGTGATTGATGGCGGCGAACGATGTACAAGAAGAGCGCAAGCGGCGGATTGTGCAGCAAGATTGCGGCGTGCATTAGCAGTGCATCTCAAGATCTAATCCTCCTCCGAGTCAGAAGGAGATTCATCTCCAGACGAAGACATGTACTGCTCGACAGCTGGTTGGATGTTAGTTGCTGCGCTATCCGTAGAATGCAGATGGGAATACTCACAAGGCACAACTTTAGCCTCTTCCGACGAGCCGTGGCGCTTAAATTGCTGCTCAAGCTGTCTGAGCTGATCGATCTTCTTCTCCTGCTCGTGCTTGCTCATTGGCTTGTTCTTCTTGGGCTTCGCGGGCTTCTGGGCGCGTGGAGCGCGCGGCTCAGGCGCTGGGATGCAGTGAGGCGCATAGCGCTGAATGAGATCATGCAGCTTGCTCAGGGTGCTGTTGCTGAACTGGTCGATGTCGAGCTCGGGGTTGTTCTCGAGGTCGAGGTCTGGAAGATCCTTCTTCAGCAGCGCAATGGCCTGCTCCATAGGGCGACCCTCAAGCTGGGCGATGCCGTTGGAGATTTGCTCTTTCTCGGCGAAGCCAATGTTCTTGGGGCGGTAGCCTTTAGACTTGGCGGCCTTGGTGTCCTTCTTGCCACCAGCGGCCTTCTTGGCGGGCTTGGCCTTGGACTTCTTGATCGCGGCTGAGCGCTTGGCGACCTCGTCGACTTGCTTCTGGACGATGGCGACCATCTCTTGTTGCATGCGGATCAGTGCCTGGTCAGCCTTCTTCGCAGACATGATCTCGATAAGCTTCTTCTGTTCCTCAACGAGACGAGCTTGAATAATGTTTGCTGCGCCGGAGTTGTGGTCCTCTTCGGGCTCTTCCTCTTCACTCTCATCATCTCCAGATTCGCCAGAGCTCTCGGGGGTGGCAGCGCTGGAAACTGCGTGATCAGCGAGGTATTGTCCCTTGCGCTGCCACTCAGAGTTGAAAAAGGCCTCGAGCTCTTGTCCCATGACATTAACTGCAGTCGAAGGTGGGTTGAACTTGTAGCAGTTCTTGAACATCAGGCGGATATCAGCCTCGAAATCCTTGGAGTTTGCGTAGTGTCCGCTGTTGAGGTTGTCCGTGATGGTGGACAGATCCATGGGCGACTTCACAATTTTGAAGTATTCCGGGATACCAAGCGCCACGGGATCGACAGGAATGAGGAATGGGGCATTGATACCCTGGTATTTAGGCTTCTTGAGCTCATTGAGGACCTCCTCGCAAAACTTGAGCTCCGTCGCGAACTTCTTCTTCTTGGGTCTGGCATTGTACACCAGATCCTTCGACTTTGGTGGGTGAATTTCACGCTTTGGTCGCCCACCATCTCCTGCCTTCGTGGAATCGCGGCGGATAAGAGGCGTTCCGGATGGGTCTAGTGCAAAGGTTTGCGCAGCTCCTCCGGCAGTCGTAGGTGACCCCGCACCGCCAGTGTGGGCTCCGCGAGATTGGCGCCTCTCCGGGACGTGGCGTGGCGCAGATGGGACTGGAGTAGCCTTCTTCTTCTTCTCCACCTTCGGAGGTTCTTTGGCGGGCAGCTTGCTCATGAGGCTGTCGCGAACGTTGATGGCGCAACGGGTAACCTCGTGTTCCAGCCCATTGAAAGTTACGCAGTTTTGGTAAAGGAGCTCAACATCCTTGATGTAGTCCGCCATGGAGCTGTAGCCCGCCTTGGCCTTCTGCTCAATGATGGAGAGATCGATTGGGTTCTCGACCTTAGCTAAATAGCCCTCTTTCAGGATTGGCCACATGTCAATGACTGCAGCTTTGAAGTTCTTGCCATCCTTTGTGCTCTTGGCCGATCTAAGTGCCTTTCCGATCTCCTTAGTTTGGTATGGTGTAAGTGGTCCATCGTCCTTGATGGCAGGCGCAGGAGCCTGGGTAGAAACGCCATTCTGCGCAGCTGGCAGATCGGTGGGTGCAACACCTTCGCCACCCTGGAGCTTGGTACGCTTTGCGGATGGCTCATCCTCGGGATCTTCTTCGCGTTCGCGCGACACCTTAGATGGTGCTTGAGGCGCGTCAGCCATCTCGGTGTCTTCCCGAGCGGGCTCAGCAGCGGATGGCGCAACTGGCACGGCAGGGCTTGGAAAGCTGGTGTTGAGATCGAGGTTCGACATGCTCGCGGGTTTAATTGGATCGGATGATGGGAGTGGATCTATTGAGCCCACAGAGGTGTTGAAGGAGCTGGGTTGAGGTTGTTCGTTTTCTGCTGTAGGAACCGGCTCGTTCGGGGTTTCGGTCTCGTCGCGTAGATCGCGATCTGTCTTCGCGTCCTGGATCGCAGCAGCTTCTTCTTGTGTAACTGGTGATGGGTTCTCTCTTAGATCGGACTCTGTCGCAGAGACAACCGGAGGTACGATTGTTGTCGACTCTAATTCGATTTGGTTGTCGGCAGCGGAAAGAGTTGCAATGTCGAGGGAAGGTGCAGTGGCAGAAGTCGCGTCGCTTGTTGATTGTAGAGGTTGCGCGACCTCGGTTGGTGCGGTGCTCGTCTCCTCCATGATCTCGGCGACAAGCGGCGCGTCCTCTGTTTGCGCGCCAGCGACACCATGCGAACTTTCCACAGCGTTGTTTACTGCAACAGCGTTCGCGTTATGATCACCATTGACAGTTGTTACTGAAGCGACGGCGTCGGGTGTACTATCGGGTTTGGAGGTGAGGGTGGATCCGGGTCGAGTCGTGTCGTGGTTTGAATCATCGTGGATTGCGGAACTGGAGGGTTTCACAGATAAATATTTGTGGACACTTTGCAAGAGGGAGGGAGGGGAGCGCAAGGAAAGCTCGAGGGGAGACTCACCCGTTGATGCCCAGATCCAGAGCCATCTTGTCCGAGGATGGAACCGGGTGCGACTTCTCCCTGAGAACGTTGTGGTCTGGAAGTGAAGTCATCACGGCCATCAACCAACGAATCCCGCCGCAGATCAACGCAGGCAGCCAAGTTTACGAATGCGCGCCAACAGCCGGGGTAGATAAAATTAATAGGCTGATAAATGGGCGTTATTGAATATATAAACTGTAGAACTGGATAAATGGCAAATTGGCGACAACACTCAGTGAAGGTGTGGTGGAGATCAGTGGAACCAAAGTTCAAGTATTGAAGACTTGGGTTGGTTGTTGTTGTGATGTTCTTTGACTTGACGCGGCGCAAGCGAGTTTAACAGCTCCCAGGGCCAGACAGGGAATGGGCGGGACCTCTTATTTATATTAAGAACTATTTGGCCACCCCTTGTTTCATTGGGCCGCACGTGACTCATTGGCGGCTCCATCAACAACTGCAACGCGCGACTTTTTGTTGATTAAGTGGAAGAGACGCGATAAAAGTGTCGAGCACTTGGGGGAGGGTTGTGTGATTATTTACAAGGCGTTTTGCTTGTAGGAAGTTATTTGAGATATTGAACACATGTCGGATGAGCAAAAAGAGTTTATTTGAGATATTGAACACATGTCGGATGAGCAAAAAGACTTTATGTACTTGTGGTGAATGCGCGTCTATTATACCATACCAACCATACCAACCATACCAACCATACCAACCATACAGTATACCAACTACCATACCACTATACCAACTATACCAACTATACCATCTATACTATACCATCTATAATTACCATACCAACATACTATACCATACTATACCATCTATAATACCATACCAACATATCAACTAATACCATACCAACATACCAACTATACCAACTATACCAACTATAATATACCATACCAACATACCAACTATACCATACCAACTATACCATCTATAATCTACCATACCATGCCAACCATACCAACTATACCATCTATACCATACTATATTACTATATATACCATACTATATTACTATATATACCATACCAACTATACCAACTATACCAACTATACCATACTATATTACTATATATACCATACCAACTATACCATACTATGGGTTTGCTTCCCCCTTTCTGGCTTCTGGCTTCTGGCTTCTGGCTTCTGGCTTCTGGCTTCTGGCTTCTGGCTTCTGGCTTCTGGCTTCTGGCTTCTGGCTTCTGGCTTCTGGCTTCTGGCTTCTGGCTTCTGGCTTCTGGCTTCTGGCTTCTGGCTTCTGGCTTCTGGCTTCTGGCTTCTGGCTTCTGGCTTCTGGCTTCTGGCTTCTGGCTTCTGGCTTCTGGCTTCTGGCTTCTGGCTTCTGGCTTCTGGCTTCTGGCTTCTGGCTTCTGGCTTCTGGCTTCTGGATTCTGGATTCTGGCTTCTGGCTTCTGGATTCTGGCTTCTGGCTTCCCCCTCCTATGTACCAAAGTACCCAATCTCGGATGATTTTGCCACCCGTCCCACCCTGCTTTACTTGGCTCTTACTTGGCTCCCTTCCCAACGATACCTGATCACTTTTGATTGGCTCACACACTCATCGTCCCCTTTCATGATTGGCTGTTCAAACCGCTATATGACCCGCACCCAACACCCCTTGTCCACAGCTCCAATAGACAATAGAGAATAGAGAATAGAGAATAGACGGAGGGAAATCCAAGCTGGTGCGTGTGTAATGTGTGCTATACTTCAAGTAACTTACTGGCAACTACCAACTTCCCCCCGCAAACCAAATACCGACTAATCCCCTACTGCCCTACTCCCCTACTTCCCTTCTCCCCTCCCCTACTCCCCTACTCCCCTACTCCCCTACTCCCCTACTCCCCTCCCCTACTCCCCTGCCCTACTCCCCTGCTCCCTACTCCCCTACTCCCCTACTCCCCTACTCCCCTTTCCCCCATTCTCTCTCTCTGACAAACGATCAAGAACATGGTCGCAAACTAACCTTCCCCTTCCCAAAACGCTTCCCCAGAGTCGGAACGTCGCTTCAAACTGCTCATGGACTTCTATTTGCTCCGCGCCCTTTCGCGACTGCGTTGAGGAACATTGGTCTTCCAAGGCCATTGTCTCCTTCGCCGGCCGCGATCACCCCTTGCGACAGCATGGGCCGAACACCGCCTCGTGAGAATGCCTACCCCCAGGCCCCTACCGAGGCCTTTGCCGCGCCTTTTGGCTCCTCGGCTCCTCCCCCAAAGCGATTCCTCAAGCGGTACAGGACTGAGATCGCGGCGAGCAGCAGCAGCGTCCTGTCCACCTTCCTCTCTGTGAGTCCCGCTCTTTTACCCCGCAGCTAGTAGGGAGCCCATGCTGATCATTGTGATTACTACAGTTCCCGCTGGACTCGGTGAAGACGCGGATGCAGACATACAGATACAACAGCTTCCTCGACTGCGTTCACAAAACCTACCAGACGGAGAGACTGAGGGGCTTCTTTCGAGGTATGCAAACCGATGCAATCTGTGGCTCATGGGCTTTTAATAACCCAAACAAACAGGTGTCACGGCTCCTGTCGCGTCTATTACGTTTGTACGGACGGTGTCGATGTCCGTGTACCAGAGGTCGAAATATACATACTCCGGTTGGATGAAGCGCAACTTTGGGGTGGACCCTATGAGCCGCATCAACACTCCTGGGAACTACCCCAGCTTCTCGACAGTGGCATGCGTCGGAGCGGCAGGTGCAACAGCTGGCTCTTTTATTACAATAGTTGCCTGTGAGTACTCTCATCTCGTCCTACAGGCCACCAACTGACGCAATTCACACAGGTCCGTTCGAGTTGACCAAATTAAGTGCTCAGGTCTCGGTATTGATGGCTGGCAAGAACATCACCAGCTCCCTCACAGACCCAACTGGAAGTAGCAATACTGCATCCGTCAATACCATTGCTGCCAGTTATCAGAATAAAGGAACATGGAGCACTGCGAAACACATTGTCAAGACACGTGGCATTGGGGGTCTATATTCGGGGTTCAGCCTCCACCTCCGTAAGTGGACATACCCGACAGCGTCACCATACAGACTAACATTAGCTTTCAGTCCGAGATACTCTAGGCACGGCAATCTACTTTATGACCTACGAGAGCGTCAAACAGGTCCTACTAACCTACCGTGGTGACAACACCACCACCTCACCAGTAGCGGTAGCCGGCGCGGGAGGTCTCTGCGGAGTAGTAAGCTGGGCTCTGATCTACCCCATCGACTCGGCAAAGAGCATATATCAACGCAACTGTCTCATGCACCAGAAAGGCAACGCCATGAAACCCAAGATCCAATTCTCCAATAAACGAATGTACAGGGGGATAGGGGTTTCCATGAGCCGCTCCGCCATTGTAAATGCGATCTTCTTCTCGGTATTTGAGTTCTTAAAGAAGCACATCAATGCACTTGAAGACAAGTGATGCGCATTGTCGGGGGAGTTTGCTAGCATATGTCACGATGAGCATGGGCCGGGTGTTTGATTCCCTGGGTGGCTCCCGTGTACATTAGTTTAGTAGTACAGTACATGCCTGGTCTATAGCGAAAGCGCCATAGCAGTATAGCTAAATATCAAACAATAAACTTGATTTTGGTATAAATTAATAAAAGGGTAATCATGTAACTGTAACGCCCCCTTTCACAATGATGTCATAGATTTTATTGATCCCCGCAATCGCCGATAAGAGAAATCTGCAGAAGTGGTTGCCTTTGGGTTACCGTACCTAGCCGCCTCCACCCAACCATCTCCAGCACCGCAATCCACCTCCGTCGTCGAGGCCCAAAAAAAAGCTCCCCCTCAGCATCTGCCAGGGCACCAGCTTTGTTTCCTCTTGTCCGCGAAAGTACCAGGACAACAGGACTCACCACCTTTTCCTTCTCATCTCACTACTACTTTCTCAATACCCGTCACTCTCACCCCAACTAACGCTCTAGAAACCATGGCCCCACGCCGCCAGGCACCGAGGTAAGCAACGCGCGCCTCTCCAGCCATGCCGCGCGAGAAAGCACGGGGCGCCGCGCTAGCAGGCGCCGCTGCGCGCCGGCCGGCTGCGGTGCAGAGGCATCGCAGGGGCAAGAAAGGGCGGGAAGCGGCGAGGGTAGCGAAGGTGTCGTCGAGGCCCAAGGCGCCGCCGCCGCTGCCGCGGACGGACCTGGTCGCCGTGCCGGTGCATGCGAAGCTCAAGTATGCGAACTCGTACTGGGAGTTTACGGAGAATAAGGAGAAGAAGAAGAAGTTGGAGTTTTGTATTACGAATGATAAGACGCCGCCGGCCGGGTTTACGTTTGTGCCGGTGGGAAATCCGGAGTTGAGTAAGGCGTGTAAGGAGGTGTCGAGGGAGGTGGGGGCGATGATTTTTATTGTTTCGGTAGGTTTGTCGGACTCCTCGGTGGATGTGTTACTGACGAGGTGGATGCAGAATACGAAGGAGCAAAATCACAACTTGTTTGATCATATCCATCGAATAGGGTTCCATTTTCGAAGCTATATTGTTGACCAAGCCGCGTCTACTCTTGGGGGTTTACAAGCTGTCACAGGCGATGGCAAACCCATCGTGGAGAATTCGGGAGATGAGATCCCAGAGACACAGGAAGAAATAAACAAGCAGGCAGATGCAGCGCTGAGAGATCTGTTCCCCAGGATTCCGAACACTGATCGAGAGATGATCATCCAGCACGCCTTCCAGATAGGAGCTATATTCCAGGGAAAACCCGTGGTTGGGTTGCAGCCCGAGCTCACCCTTTCACGCCGCGTGCAGCTAGCCGCCAACGCTCACATCCGCCACAACCACACCAGATACGACAAACTGCTACACGAGACGGATTATCTCAATGCGAGGCGAGTGGTGGAACCGCTCTGCTTGGATTTCATCATGAAATGGCGCGGAGACGAAGAGACGGGCCGGGATCAGCTGGATGAACTCTTGCGCGAAGTCGTTGTGATTCCGGACTCTGATGAGGAAAGCGAAGAGGAGGAAGAAAGTGCATCTGATGATGACGAGGTTCAATTTCTACGTGAAGTTTTGCATGCCGCGCCACATCGACAAGGGACCAACCCACCTCGACACGGGAACAGATTCCATGTCGATGATCCAAGGAGAAACGAGGGAGGCGAAGGAGACGCTTACTCTGAGATCGCTACACGCACACGTTCGAAGACAAACAACAAGCAGGCGCGAGGGCGGAAGGATAAGCAGGCAAGGCGAGGCTTCAAGCGTTACCAGGCTTGGGAAGACGCCCAGAAGAGGCAACAAGCTTCGCATGCAGCACCAGTCAGACAGCCGTCCTATGATGACCGGAGGAATAATGAGTCCAGACATGCTCACAGACTGACCAATAATGTATCCGGATTTTATGGCGGCGATGAACGTCTGCCTGCTGAAGAGCCACAACGCTTACAGAGAAACGTTGTTGATAATCAGCCCAGATATCGTGAAGTAAGTTTCAACGTAGGAGGGAGTACCATTTGTACTGATAACAGGAAGCAGTTACCTGTCAGCCGACCTTTGGAATCTGTCCAATACCAACAAGCACCTGTTAGTCGGGCACCAGAACAGGGCCACTACGTGCAACGCGAGGTAATGTTGAGGTCCAACATCCTTGATCAGTACAAAGACCCACCACCCAGGTCCACCTATGAATATGTGGACCGGCCCATAGTCACTGAAACCGGTGAACCTTGGAGATCCGAGGCACCGCGAGCCCGAGAACCGCGCCAGCTAGCCGGTATGACTCGGCCATTCAGTCCGCACGATGCCCTCCCATCCATTGAGCGCGGCGATTTGCCCAGCGACCGCCCGGATAGGAGAGAATCACCAGTCATGATGAGTGTCCGCCAGGCGAGGAACGCCCCACCGCGGGCTCATGAAGAACAGGTATTGTACACACGCGGTGAGCCTGAGCCCAAGCGCTTCAGACCCCTCCCCGTCCACTCCAACGTCATCTACGACGACGAGCCCGAGGTCGTGCCCAAGCGCCGCCGCGTAGCTGCGGACCCTGGCGTCTTTCAGCCTGCCAACACGGGCGTCGAGTATGTTCGTCTCCGTCCAGTGCCACGTGCAGATGACCGTTTCTTTCCTTCGTCTTCATCAGCCGCGTCATCCCAGGGGATAGAGGAGCGCCGCTACGATCACGCATTTACCCAGAATGCTGTCGTTGATAGCCAGCCGTCTATGATGTCTCAGCAGCCTCTGGCGCCTAGAGAGCTCCGGCCTGTCAGGCACGTGGCAGACCATAATGCGGCTTTTGGTAAGCTTTCATTAGATGATCGTGCGCAGCGAGGTGAGTCTCAGGCGCCTATGCGGCAGCGAGTTGTAGAGCAGCAGCGGCCGACTGCTTATGTGTCTGAGAACCGCCCTCCGGGAGCGTATGAACAACGCTATGCTGCTCAGGAGCCACAGTACTATCAGCGCCCTGTTGGAGTGACCCGCGAGCAGGCAGAGTACCAGTCTCGTGACCCTGTACCGTTGTATTTGCCGGCGAGACCCCCACCAGCGGAGCGTCCGCGTCCAGAATTACCAGCGAGGCCTTTACCAGCTGAACGTCCCCATTCTGCTTTACCAGCCAGACTCCTACCAGCCGAACGTCCATACGGCGACTTTGAGCCGCAGCCTGTAGAGTATCGACGCGTGTAAGTCTAGTGTTTTATATTTCTCTCTCTCTCTCCCTGTCAGTTCGCTGACGCTATCCTCTGTCATATTAGCCCTTCACGAGAGCAGCAGTACCGGGAAGTTCGTACACGGCCTGCGGAGGACATCGGAGATCCAAGATATGCAGCGCGACAGGTTAGACCGCGTGGGGGCAAGGTGCGGTATGAAGTCGCTCCTGGGCCGGCACCGAATGGGCCGAAGATGTATTCGGGGAGTACGCCAAGACCGGGGGAGGTTATTGTGTTGGATTGACTGGAGGTCGAACTATTTGGTGGACGATTAGGACGAGGCATTCAACGGCTTGAAGTCATGTGCTTTAATACTGGCGTGGAGGGGATACGAGAGACGAATGGTAGGTCGCAATTATATGTTGGGCTGTGTTGAGGTATACTGACGCCTTGGAAGGAGGGAAGGGACGAACGGCGGATGGATAAAAAGAGGGAAAGAACGAGAGAATGTGGGAAGGAACGAAAGGCAGAGTGGCTTTATATAGACGGACGGGGGTTGTTAATTAACAACTTGGCGCGCGGGAAGGGCGGTTGGGGAAGAGCATATGTCGGCCCTTCTGCGACATGAGGCATATACTTTGTTTGCACTGTTTGTATGGAAGCATAGACACGCAAGGCATGAAGCATGAGGCATTAAAGGTTGGAGGACTTTTGTCGACGGCCAAAACATGTATAATATAGACTTCACAGGTGCACATAATCAAAGACAAATACCAACATCCATTATCTCCATCTCAAACTCCTAAAAAATGCATAACCCCACCATCAAGTCATCCCCAAGACGACCCCCCCCCCCCCTCTTTTACATCCCCCTCTCCTTCAACCTCCGATACTTCCCCGCATCCTTCACACTCGGCTTCACCGAACCCAGCGCAACCTCCCAATCCACCCTCTCAATCCTGACCTCCTCACTCCCCCCATCCCTCCTCAACGCCGCCACCGCAGCAGCCTGATGCAAATTCCCCAAATCCGCCCCCGAATACCCCTCCGCCCTCCCATCCCTCGCCACCTCCTCCAACCCCTCCATCACCGCCCCCGGCAGTGCCTTCGCATACAGCGCGCGCAGAATCTCGACCCGCTCATCGGCATTCGGCAAGTCGATGAAGACGCTCGTCCCCAGGCGGCCCGGGCGCAGCATCGCGGGGTCGATCATGTCCGGTCTGTTCGTGGCGGCGACGACGTAGATGCCCGCGCGACTGCTGAGGCCGTCCAGTTCGGTGAGCAGCGTGTTGACGACTTTGCTGCTTGCTTCAGACAACGAGTCCTCGCGCTTGGGGACGAGAGCGTCCAGCTCGTCGAAGAATAGGATGCAGGGGACGGAGGAGCGCGCGCGCTCGAAGACTTGTCGGACTGCGCGCTCGGACTCGCCGACGTACTTGTTTAGTAGCTCAGGGCCCTTGATGGAGATGAAATTCGCCTTCGACTCGTTCGCTACCGCCTTCGCTAGGAGCGTCTTACCGCACCCTGGCGGTCCCCAGAGTAAGACACCAGTTGGGGCTGTGATACCCACGCGCGCGAAGGCGGCGGGGCGACGGATGGGCTCGATGATGGCCATAGTCAGCTGCTCGCGCACGGTGTGCAGAGCCCCGATGTGCGCCCACGTCGTGTCGGGGATGGTAGCGAATCCCTCGCGGCGCGCGGAGGGCTGGACTTTGGGGATGGCGGCGAGGAAATCGGAGTAGGTAATTGAGAAGTCTCCGTCGGGGGGTGTTTCGCCGGCGTGCTTGACGAGGCTGCGGAGGAGGCGGAGTGGGGCGGAGAGGGGGGTCGGGTGTGCGGTTAGGTCGGTGGAGGTGGTAGTAGTGGCGGAGGTAGAGGCGGCAGTGAGGATGCTATCGATTTCCATGACATCTGTTGTGAGTGCCGTTGGGGGAGTTAGGGGGGTGTCTACGACGCGCTGCTTGAGAGCTGTCATCATGCGCTTCATCGCTTCTGTGCCGGCGACCGAGACGACATCATTGAGATCCGCGCCGACGAAACCGGGAGTCATCTTGGCGAGCTTGAGGAAGTCGAATTCATCGGGTAACATGAGCTTTTGCGTCAGCGCACGCAGGATCTTCTCGCGCGACGCCTCGTTTGGTACGCCGAGGTTGATTTCCTTGTTGAAGCGTCCCGCGCGGCGGAGCGCGGGGTCAATGCTGTCGGGTCTGTTGGTGGCAGCGATGATGATGACAGGTTTCCCGTCCGTCTTCTCCAGCGCCATGTCGTCCATGCACGTCAGCATCTGCGCAACAATACGCTTCTCCATCTCACGCTGCGCGCTCTCACGCTTCCCCATGATAACGTCGATCTCATCGATGAAGACAAGACAGGGAGCCATTTTCTTCGCCTCGTCGAAGATCTCGCGGATCTTCTTCTCAGACTCGCCGGACATGCCGGCTACGAGCGAGGGCGCCGAGATGGGGATGAAGGAGACGCCTATTTCGGATGCGAAGGCGTTAGCGATCATAGTCTTGCCGCATCCGGGCGGGCCGTGGAGGAGGACACCGCGGGGCGGCTGGATGCCGGTACGGAGGTATGTTTCGGGGTAGAGCATGGGCATGGCGACGAGTTCGTTCAGCTCTTCGATCACTGCGTCGACACCGCCGAGGTTGGCGAGGGAGATGTCTGCGGGTGGAGTGCGGTCGACTTCTTTCTTTGGCTCTCTCTCTGCCTTGCGGCGCTTCTTGTGCGGCTCTCCATTGGTATGTCTGTCCGCCTTGCCCGGCGTCGTCGCATCTCCATCGAGTGCCTGGGTTGGAGTTGAAGGTGTAGTTTGTCCCGTCGTTAAGGCATCTGATTGTGTGTTCGGTGTGAGGGATGCCTTCGGTTGCGCCCACAACTTCGTAATGCTCCTATTCATGACATTGTGCTCCTTCAGTACAGGTACAGCATCGGCGATCCCATCAAAATCCCCATCCAGCGAAGCCTCGCTATCATCCTGCTCCTCTTTTATAACTAGTAGAACACGGTCGATCGAGTCATCGAGCAACTTCTTCGGTCTGCGCCTAAGACTTGAATTCGAATTCTTAATGCTGTCGTATACTACCGATGTAGAAAGCCTCTTCCCGCCATCCTCACGCTCGGCCTGCTCGTCAGCGATTTTGCGAACAACTTGGTATATCTGTAGCGATTAGAATATTTCCCCACAACTTTTCTCGCAAAACCCACCTCGCGATCAAGACTCTGCGTCAAACTTGGCCTCTGGCCGCTTCTAATCGGCATCGCTGCGATAAATCATAAGTCACACGTAGATTTGCAAAGTCAAAAATCCCAAGAAGTCGCACCGATCGGTGATGTTGTGTTCCCCGTCCAAACTTTTTGACTTTCCCAACTGCACCCCTGTAATCGCGCCGGCAACTCCCGTTATCGCACCCCGACCGCCTTTAGGGTGGATGACGCCCTCGACCTTCTGCTCCGAAAACAGGGCCTCCAAGACACAAAAAACCGTTGACAATGACAATACAACTATAAGATTCCAGCCGAAGCATGCGCCTTCGTCGCTTTCAAATAACCCCGCGATTCAGCAGCCATGGGCAGTACTGCCAGCAAGCCGTCCGCGCAAGATGAGTACGTGCCTGCCCCTCTCGTATGCCTTACTCACCCCTCCCCAGGGCGATTCTCAACCTCAAAATCCAGCGCGACAGGCTGCATAAATACCAGAAGCGGATTACGGTGATCACAGCCCGAGAACACGCTATTGCAGCGACGCTGCTGAAGCAGGGTGACCGTCCGCGTGCACTGTTGGCGCTGCGGCGGAAGAAGTACCAAGAAAGTCTGCTGGCGAAGACGGATGCGCAGCTAGAGCAGCTAGAGGTGCTGACGAGTAGTGTGGAGTTTGCGCTGGTGCAGAAGGATGTGGTGTTTGGGCTGAGGGAGGGGACGAGGGTGTTGACGGAGATTCAGAAGGAGATGGGAGGGTTAGAGCAGGTGGAGAAGTTGATGGGGGAGACGGCGGAGGCGGTGGCTTATCAGCAGGTATGTTTGGTGCTGTTTATTAAGTGAGTGTGAAGCGGTTGCTAATGTTTGAGTAGGAGGTCAGTGATATGTTGGGAGGGAAGATCTCGAATCAGGATGAGGATGAGGTGGAGGATGAGCTTGAGGCACTAGAGGCGCAAGTTACAGGCGTGATGCCGAGTGTGCCTACGACGAAGCTGCCTAGCAAGGAGAGGGCGGGGGCTAGGGAGAAGCAGAGGGAAGAGCAAAGAGAGGAGAGGCAAGCGATGTTGGCGTCTTGATTTGTGTATATGTGAGTGCCTTAGTTGAATTCGACGAGATAAAGGTTACATATGGCTAGATGACTACTTGGGCTATTATGGATGGACATGAACATCGGCAAGGCGTTTGGATGAGAAGAATCATAGAGGAACCCAAGCATGAGCAGAGCGCAGCGCATAGTTACAAACATTATTGAAATAAACCTTTCCGCCCCAACTCATCTATTCTATATGATATGCAGGACGTACACGCGATGTTAAAGAGGAGATCTTTTCCCACCCAACAGCCAACGCTATCTAACCTATTGTACAAGTACAGCCTTTTATATCATTACAGCATCAGCGTCCCCGTCTATTTAGTCTCCTCACGGAGGAAGCTGGGATTTGTTAGAATTGTTTCGAGCTGGCAGCGGCTGTGGCTAACTTACGTGATCAGGTCGTTGCGGTCCTTCTCCTTCTTGAGTCCACCGAAGGCCATCTTGGTGCCAGGGATGTACTTCTTTGGGTTCTCGAGGTACTCGAAGAGAGTATCGGTGTTCCAGGTGATAGCCTTCTGCTTGTTGGCATCGGTGTATGCGAAGCCCTCAACGGCGCCGGTTTGGCGGCCGAAGAGACCGTGGAGGTTAGGGCCGATCTTGTTGGCCTCTCCATCACCGAGGGTGTGGCATTGTGCGCAACGGGTCTTGAAGAGGTTGGCACCCTTCTTTGAGTCTCCTACGTGATGCGTTAGTTGTCTGTTTCTGGAGTTGGTGAAGGCTTGGCTGTGCCGAGGGTAACGAGAAAAAGTTGGCAGCGGGTTGGCGATGAGTTAATGGCGCTTCAGAGGATATCTGGCATGTTATGCATTGGCTGGCGAGTGATTTCGAGATAGATGAGGCAGGAGAGGCTGTTGTTGATAGCTGTCTCCCCCTTGCTTGGATGGCAATTCGAAGTTGACAGAGGGCAAAGTGCATCGTCTCTTTCGCCAGATCTATTCATCGTAGGCACTCGTCGAAGCCAGCATGCCATTGACCAAGCATCTCTGCATCCCCAGGACAAACTTCAACCCATCCCAGGCATCGCCTCCATCTCAATGGAAAACCGCCGTCGCCGTGGATAAATTGCGCAAACGATGATTCCCAGCACAGCCAGCCAGTGCGTAAGAAAACGGGACTACATACCGTCCTTGAAAGGCATTTTGAATAAGTATTAAGGTAATAAAAGCGATTGAAGGTGTTTGTTTGTTGTATGTTTAAAACAAGACGTAAGGCAAGTTAAGTAGGAGGAATCGAAAAACTTTCTCTTACCCAGGACAAACCGGACATGACGGCCAGGAAACCAAGAAATTAGCGTCTCCCAGTCATCAGTCGGCCCCCCAGCCACATGTTGTGCTGATCCACCAATCAGAAGGCTCGACTTTGTCATTTTTGTATTCAACCGTCTCGGGAGACCTCGGGTCAAGGAACAAACAGTGCCGCGGAGAACGCACGTGGCCTATCTCGGCGCCCGTAATATTTTTGTTCCTGAGCCATTTGTTCGTGCGGCTCTTTTTGGCAACACTACTACTGAGGAATACGCGGTAAAATTATACTGCCCATTCAAGATTGCCTATCCAGGACAACAGGCAATCAACACACGGAACAATGTCCGCCTCAATCCCACGCTTTCTCCTCCCCCGCGGTCCCTCCACCTGGCGCCCGCGTCTCACCTCGCCCACCTCCCGCACCATCCGAGCCGCTTCCACAAAGGCCACAAAACCCAAGGCGCCTGCCTCCAAAATTCCCGTCCTCGAGAAGCCTACACGTTTCAACCCGCCCTCGCACGGCAAGAGCCTACCCAACCGCACAGTGCGGTACCCCGGCCCCCCGCTCAGCGAATCCGAGATCGCAGCCCAGAAGACGAAGAAATACCCTACCATGATGCCCCCCGAGGGGACGTTCATGCACTGGTTCCTGAACAATCGCAGCATCCACATCTACATCACGCTTGGAGTCCTGTCGTCGCTGGCGGGGTTCACGTTCCTGGTTAGTCTGCGACGGGACTCGAAGTTTGGGGATCTCCTGCCGGAGCCGAAGGATGCGATATGGCACCCCTTTGCGACGGTGAGGACGGTGTTTGAGGTTTTGAGGCTGGATACCGAGGCGAGGAGCGCGGAGACTAAGGAGAGGAGAGAGAGGAGGGTGGAGGATGTGGCGAAGAGGGGAGAGTACAGGAAGGCGCATGGGTTGGAGACAGAGGGCTTTGGTGGGTGGACTGCCAAGGAGGCACCTCCTGTCGCTGTTCAGGAAGCAATGGAAGCGGGAGAGGATAGCGTGGAGCAGCCGAAGCAGAAGAGGCAGGTTAAGAAGTGGTTGGGGATTTGGTAGGGCGCCAGTATGAGGGAAGGTAAGGGATAGACGGGTACGAGCTGCATTAGAAGCTTGGGCTCCATAGCGCGGCAGAGAAGGGAGAGTTTGGATGTACGATATATGTGAGATTAGCGCCACTATTTCCGCGGCAGACAGCGAAGTCATGTACAAACAAACTACTATATCTCAAGTCCACCGATAGATTTCCCAAGTCACCATGATAGAGGTATCATGTAGTACATAAAAGTGTGGCAGCACACCCTTTTCCACGTTGATGGTCACTTCATGCATGTTGTTTGTGAAAATCATCGTTTTATTCTACTTCATCCTCCCATTTTCCTCAGCCAAATGCAACAGCCAACCCATTTTTTAATGCCCTTTTCTGTTTTCTCATATCAACCTTTCGCAGCCGAACGCCAACTCGAAGCATATGTTTTGAAGTCTTTTTCTCTTTTGTCCTCTCGATTTTTTTAAGCTGAATGAGGTTTCCTCATCGAATATATCCCTACTGGCTGCTTGGTTCAGCACCACCACGACTGGAACTAGGACTGCTTGGTCCACTATAACTAGGACCAGGACTGCTTGGTCCAGCACCACAGAGGCCTAACCTTGCCATGTCAGCCGTAGCGGTATCTTCAATCCACTCACCTGGGAGACCTTTTTGGCGTGGTGTGTCGGACTTGCCGGGGGACATCGCCCGGATCCTTCGCTTTGTGCGCTGCGAGATTGTCTTGAGTTCTTGCCGGATCTCCCATTCGTACTTGAATATCTTCGTGTTAATCGTTGACAGAAGACGGCTCATGCCATAAACTTTTGGGATGCCCGAAGCGCGGACAACTGCTTCTAAAAGAGATGTTAGCTTTTCATGCTATAAAGTGAGAAATTTAACATCGTAGTTTACCTTTGTACTTTACCAAAGAATCAAGTTTAGCTGTAGCTTCAGCCTGGTTCCAACCAGCTTCAGCTATACAACACGCGATATACTTTAACCCTTTCGCATAACTGTGGCCCTGTAGTGTTGCTGGCTCGTCAAATAGGGCGTACTCGCAGACTAGGTCAAATGATCTTGGTACATTTGGACCAGAGTAAGCATTAATATCGACTTCCTCACAATCTGGCATGTCGAGCTCCCAGAAACTCTTGTAGGCCGTTGCCGCCCCCATAACTTGGCTCATACGATAGTCAAGAGAGTCTCGCATCTGTACTAGGCCCATAAGCGTAGGCCTTTCAACCCCCTCGAGTGGACGATTAATGGAGCCATGAAGCGCCACATTTTTTGCTTGCTCATCGAGACCAGGTTTTGCTAGCTAAATATTTGCGTGCGTGTCCCTTGACTTGTGTAAGCAGCATATCGTAGCTAAAGATTCGTTCTCCTGGACCAAACTGATATTCTCCTCCAGGCGGCTCTTGTTGTTCTCCAGCAGCCTTTAGCTGCAACCACCTCTCCTTGAATTTGTTTAGAGGGAATCCTGTCCGCTCTGAATACTCCATCTCCCACTGGTCATCTTGCGACGAAAACATAGGATGGTGGACTGAAATTTGAGTCCCTGATTTCGTAAGTTCCATCTTAGGATCTTTTTCCTGGACAGCATCGCGTACTAGCTTAACAAGTCCTGCATAAGTTGGACTTTGATCGTAGTCATCCACTTCTTCAGTGTTGAAGCCTTCCATAGTAATCTTCAAAAGTGTGTCGGTTAAGGCTGTCACGAAAGGAGATCCTCAAAAACGACGTCGGATAGTCCCACTAACTGGCCATGAAAGACTCTCTTTCCACTTCGCTTGTGCAGCAAGAGTGGTGATGTTCAAGTCTGCATTAATCGCATATCCACTGTAACGATGTACGGTTACGCTCGCGCTACATCCCACTGAGCCAAAAAGACTACAGTATTCGGCTCGCCCGGAATACGCGTAACACGCTTTATATACCACATGTACTGTAACGGCGGCACCCGTTACATCCACCACTATAGCAGGCTGTTGTAACTAGGCAGAGCCCAGCTTTTGGTGCACTGCTCCCAATTGCCTGTTTGAATATCTTCGTTGTTAGGAGCCTAGTGTAACGGGTGCCGCCGTTACAATACATGTGGTATATAAAGCATGTTACGCGTATTCCGGGCGAGGCGGAATACTTAAGTCTTTTTGGCTCAGTGGGATGTAGCGCGAGCGTAACCATACATCATTACACCTAGGCTTATTTCCTTTCGTAAGGCCCATGTGGATTGCAAACGTCCCCTCCTTTCCATGAGAAAATATCAAAATGATGACCGGTCGCCCATCATCTTTGTAAGGACACAGGGCACCCAGCTGTAATGGTGGGTGCACCAGATATGAGAATCTAGCCACCCAAGGAAGGGATGAATTTACTAAGACAACACACTGTCTTAGGAAACAGAGCCAAAGGGTTGTAGCTTAGTGTTACGACGGAACAAGAAGGCTGGCCAACTACAGGACAGGAAGGAGGGAGGTCGCATGAGACCGGCCCTGGTACCTGGAGGGGCAGCGGGGAATAGTAGTTCCGAAAGTATCACGTGACGGACTCGCAGGATGATGAGAAGAGTCCTAAGAGTCCAGGACTCCGAGGACTCGAGTGAGTTCCCAGGAGTCCACTAGGCACGTGATGGACTCGCAGGATGATGAGAAGAGTCCTAAGAGTCCAGGACTCCGAGGACTCGAGTGAGTTCCCAAGAGTCCACTAGGCACGACGCCACTATATAAGTAGATAGTATTTCCTTAGATAGGAGCTTCGTGCTCAACTCAATACAGTATTTGTTATATACTAGTAACGTGTTACTTGAAGCCTTTGTGTCTGATCCCCTGCCTCCTCTGATAAGTAAACCTTTACGCAAGAGAACCTCTGTGTCTTCTATCGTTTAGAAGTCAGCGTTACACTTAGACTATTCCACAACGCAGCAATCAGGTGTGTGATATAGTGAAGTGGTTCAGACAAGTTGCAACAAATGTTGAGTCTGGGAACTCAGGGGTAAGTCAGAGGTTAACACCTCACTGACTTTTCAGAAACAAGGAGTAACAAGATGAATGCTTGGAAGCTTGGAAAAGACGTGGAAGTATGTGATAGTCGATTTACTGTATTGCCTGCTTGCCCTTTCTTAAGGAAAGGGCAATCCTATTGATGCCAAAGGAGTGTAGTTCTCTCATTTTCCATGACTTTCCATGACTAACCAGGCTTGGTAAATGTATTAGAAATCAAGTGCGACCCACAACTAGCTTGCTAATCATGTAGTGAACGTAAGAGAATCCCATAGAACCATCTCTTGGGTTCCTAGCCTATAGGAAGTGAAAAGGAGGTCCAAGGTCAGAGTACCTATAGACAAATTATGTCATAACTTAACCAATCTTGTGGGTAACTAAGTAGCGATGACGTGTAATGAATCATAGAGGGTTGTAGAAGCTTCTAGAGCTATCGTTCATGTTCCTAGGCCACTAGTTGGTAGAGATATGCCATGTGGTAGTATTGGCCCACCCCCTTAAGGAGGAGATTTTCTTAATAACTTGTTCAATGAGTGTCCAAATGATATGCCGTGATGTATGTAGCATAAACAGATGTAGTAGAAGAGTTTGCAGCAATCGTTGAGTAGTATTGCTTCTGTTGTTGGTGTGATAAGCCAAGATATGTATGGTGACTTGTAGGTTTGAGGAGGAGATTTCTAAGTTTGCTCTTGAGTTTGATAGCAAACTGAGTGCAACGAATGTCAGTATGACACCAGCTCATAGTAATAGCATATGAGAGTGCGAGTCAGAGGCTAAACGGATGCTATCCTATAGGTCTACTACGAAGGATACAAAAAAGATGAAGAGAGGAATCACCGTTTGGTCAATCTCCTTAAGTACCCGAAACGGGTCCGACTCGGCTAACCTGCCTTCACCCTCACCACGTGACCATGACTTGTCCGACTCAGATACCTTCCGTCACTGAAGGAGAGGAACCCCCGTTGGGTCAATCTCCTCAATGTAAGGACAGTTCGAACCGAGGCTGACCTTCAAGTCTGCAGAAGTATCCGAAGTATAATGTGAAGACTTCGATACTCGAAGCAGTAGGACAAGGTATAGTAATTCAGGCTCCAAAGCATATACTTTATACCACAGGGGTCAAGCGGTGAGACTAACAGGTTGGCCAAGTGGTTCGACTCGAAGTAAGGGAATGCAAAGTAAGTTGAAGCAGGAGGAATTGCAAGAAGGCCAAGTAGTATATAATTTGCTAGCTAAAGATCAATAAGAGACATGAGCAATAAGTGCTTATATAACAGTAAAAATCCCTAGTGCCAAATAAGCGAAGGCACTAATTAACTGAACCCTAGCTAAGCGAGCCCTAGTGCAGCAAGCCAATAACAAGAGAGCCTAAGCCAGTAGTCAACATTTGGGCTGATCTAGGTCAGCAAGTGAAGCGAAGTGAGCGAAGTGAGCAAAGCAGGTGAAGTGAATGACATAGTGAAATAAGTACTAGAGACTAAAGCGAATTGAAGGGTCGTGACACAAATATCGAAGGAGTGTCATGACACTCAAGTACCTGAAACGGGTCCGACTCGGCTAACCTGCCTTTATGTCAGCACGGGGGAGTGCTGATTCAAAACATATAGCAGCCTCAGACACAGTCACAGCTGCTATTCCTGAAAAACTTGAAAAATCCCCACCAGGCACAACTTCAACTGAGACTACAACTTCTCCCCTAGACAACAAAGATGTGTCGATGGTGCTTTCTCAGAGTTTCACACACCTGTTAATCCCTATTCAACTCCATTTCAAACAACAGGTGTTATCTACAAGGGCTATGATAGACTCAGGGGCAACAGGCAACTTTATATCTCAAGACCTCATCTTGACACACCAGTTACCTACAATTCCCAAACGCACTCCAGAGTTGCTCCGAGTCATTGATGGAACTCCTATCAGTTCAGGTTCCATTACCTGCAACTCCCCAGTACTCAAACTTAAGATTCCCCTAGGAAAATCAACATTTTCAGACACCATCTCTTTAGATGTTATACCAATGAAGTACCCAGTCATCCTAGGTCTTCCATGGCTTCAAAGGCATGATCCAACTATCAATTGGAAGCATTTATCGCTTGGGTTTAGCTCAAATCCTGAGCTCAATACTGAAAAAACCCTTCAAGCCTCAGTTACCCCTATTCAGGTCCAAGACTCAGACTTGTCCCAGATCAAGGATTTTGACCAAACTATGGACGATATATCATCTCTGATATGGGTTAAACCTTTCCAACCTGTCCTGGAGATAGCAGCTACTTCAGATTTGGAGAAATCATCTCAGGAGGTCATTTTGCCTTTAGCATACCAAGACTACCAACATCTTTTTGACAAGGCAAAGGCATCAATTCTGCCAAAGCACCAGCCTTATGACCATGAGATACCACTCGCAGAAGGCTCAATGCCTCCCTACGGCCCTATCTACTCTCTATCTGAATTAGAGCTGAAAACTCTCAGAGAATACCTAGATGAGAACCTTAGTTCTGGCTTTATCAGACCTTCTTCCTCACCAGCAGGAGCTCCCATTCTCTTTGTCAAGAAGAAAAATGGCTCCTTGCGTCTCTGTGTTGATTATAGGGGCCTTAATGCAGTCACTGTTAAAAACAGATATGCTTTACCCCTTATCCCTGAGCTCATGGATAGGCTCTCTTCAGCAAGGATCTTTACCAAGTTAGATCTCAGGGGAGCTTATAACAGGTGATGAGTGGAAGACAGCATTCAGAACACGCTATGGTCATTTTGAATACCAGGTAATGCCTTTTGGGCTTGCCAATGCACCTGCTTCTTTCCAAGCTCTCATGAATGATATTCTAAGACCTTACTTGGATATCTTTGTTGTTGTCTACTTAGATGACATTCTTATATACTCTTTAGACACTCAAGAGCATGTTCTACATGTTAGACAAGTCTTAGAGAAGCTATCTCAAGCACAACTCTTTTGCAAACTTGAGAAATGTCTTTTCCATATGTCTCAAGTTGATTTCTTGGGACATAGAATTTCAACAGAAGGCATTCAGATGGATCCTGAAAAGACAAAAGCAGTACAAACGTGGCCTATTCCTTCCAGCATTAAAGAGGTTCAGTCTTTCCTTGGGGTTGCCAACTATTACAGGAGGTTTATACCAAGATATACATCCTTGGCTTTACCCCTTACTCAATTACTTCACAAGGACACTTTGTATCACTGGGATAAGACACAGCAAGATGCTTTCGATGCTCTTAAAGGAGAATTCAAAGAAGGAAAATGTTACTACACTTTAACCCCTTGAAACTTGCCACTCTTGAGACAGATGCCTCAGATTTTCCTATTTCTGGAATCTTATACCAAGCTCCAAAGGACAAACAAGAAGAGCTACAGCCTGTGGCATTTTACTCAAGAAAGCTATCAGCAGCCGAACAAAACTATCCCATTACAGACAAGGAACTGCTTGCCATAGTATGTTCTCTAAAGCATTGGAGATGCTACCTTGAAGGGGCAAACTATCCTATCACTATTTACAGTGACCATTCAAATCTCTTGACCTTTACAACCACTAAACAGCTCAATCGACGACAAGCAAGGTGGTCTGAACAACTAGGAGGTTTTGACTTTGTTATAAAACATATCTCAGGGGCCAAGAATCAAAGAGCAGATCTCCTCTCAAGAAGACATGACTACCAAGATTCTGCTAAAACAAGCAATACAAAGGCCCTGCTAGACTCTACAAAGCTTATAGCAGCATCTTTAAGCAACCCTCGCACTACAGAGGACTTAGAGGGAAACTTATCCCCTCAAGACCAAGTTGCCCCCATTACCTCTTCTCAGAAACCAGAGACCTTTAAAGACTAAACACCCTCAGCAACACTTCTTAAAGCATTCAAAGATGCTTACAACCACGATCCCTTTGCCAAAAGAACTTTGGAATACCTCCAGAAGAAAGGCTTCTCTCTTGAGAAAGTTGGACTACGAAATTTCTCAAAAAATCAGCAAGGACTTCTCTTATTCAAGAGCTATATCTATGTCCCAAGGGATAAACGATTACAGCTACACCTCCTACACAGCTGCAGGGCACTTTGGCTTTGCAAAAACTTATGAACTTCTAACAAGAAAGTTCTACTGGCCTAGTCTAAGGACTACTCTTCAAGACTATATATCTTCTTGCACTACTTGCAACTTGAACAAACCTACACGGCAAAAGCCCTATGGCCTCTTGCAGCCTCTACCTATACCAGAACGCCCATGGGACTCCATATCCATTGACTTTATAGTCAAGTTGCCTCCTTCTATCCCAAAAGGGGGTGCTACCCCTTATGACTCTATCCTTGTGGTGGTAGAAAGGCTCACAAAATGGCACACTTTGAGCCTTGCAATGAGACTATCACAGCTTCTGAACTTGCGTGGCTATTCCTCAAGGTGGTCTTTAAATATCATGGAATTCCTGGACACTGGATCTCAGATAGGGGAACAGTTTTCACTTCAAACTTTTTTAAGGAGTTCTCTAAACTCTTAAACATGGAACAACGCTTCTCTACAGCTTATCACCCTCAAACAGATGGCCAGACAGAGAGAGTCAACTCTGTACTTGAACAATATCTAAGAATTTATACACTATGCTCAAGACAACTGGGCAGATCTTCTCCATCTTGCAGAATTTGCTTACAACAACACTGTCTCTAACACCACAAAAGAGACACCTTTCTATGCAAACTATGGTTATCACCCTAGGTTTGAAGTGGCAGAACTTAATCGTCCTGAAAATCTCAAAAACCCTTCTGCTACTGAAAGAATCATCTACCTTAAGGACCTCCAGGACTATCTCAAGGTCCAAATACAGTGTGCACAAGACGAGCAGGCTCAGGCCTTTAACAGGGGGGTGGTTGCACCACAATTCAAAGTTGGTGATCAAGACTTTTTGTCTAGAAGACATATCACAACTACTAGACCATCAGACAAACTTGATACTAAAAGACTTGGACCCTTTAAGATCACAAGGACTATTGGCAAGAATGCTTTCGAGCTTGCATTACCACCTACTTGGACTATCCATAATGTCTTCCATGCATCTCTCTTGTCTAAGGCACAAGAAAGTTCCTTAAGACCACTTCAGTCTCCTCCACCTCCTGTTCTGATTTTGGATCAACCAGAATATGAAGTAGAGTCTATCCTTGACAAAAAGACACTTAGAGGTCAGGACTACTTCCTCGTTAAGTGGAAAGGCTATTCTACAAGTGACAACACTTGGGAACCTAAGAGAAATCTAAAAAATGTATCCAAGCTGATTCTAGAATTTCTTTCTAAGAAAGCCACCTGGCTAAAGGGCAAGCACACAGCTAACAAACGTCCTTAAGAGGGGTATCATGTCATACTGACATTTGTTGCACTCAATTTGCTGTCAAACTCAAGAGCAAACTTAAAAATCTCCTCCTCAAACCTACAAGTCACTATACATATTTTGGCTTATCACACCAACAACAAGAGCAATACTACTCAACGATTGCTACAACCATCTATGATTCATTACACGTCATCGCTCCTTAGTTACTGGGCCGATATTACCACATAGCATATCTCTACAACCCTCTATGATTCATTACATGACATCACTCATACTACCACATGACATATCTCTACCAACTAGAGGCCTAGGAGCATGAACGATAGCTCTAAAAGCTCCTACGAACCTCTATGATTCATTACACGTCATCGCTCTTTAGTTACCCACAAGATTGGTTAAGTTATGACATAATTTGTCTATGACATAATTTGTCTATAGGGGTACTCTGACCTTGGACCTCCTTTTACTTCCTATAGGCTACGAACCTAAGAGATGGTTCTATGGGATTCTCTTACGTCGACTACAGTTACCAAGCCTGGTTAGTCATGGAAAGTCTTGGAAAATGAGAGAACTACACTCCTTTAGCATAAATAGGATTGCCCTTTCCTTAAGAAAGGGCAAGCAGACAATACAGTAAATCGACTATCACATACTTCCACGTCTTTTCCAAGCTTCCAAGCATTGATCTTGTTACTCCTTGTTTCTGAAAAGTCAGTGAGGTGCTAACCTCTGACTTATCCCTGAATTCTCAGACTCAACATTTGTTACAACTTGTCTAAACCACTCCACTACATCATACACCTGATTGCTGCATTGTGGAATAGTCTAAGCTACGACCCTTTGGCTCTTTTTCCTAAGACAGTGTGTTGTCTTAGTAAAATCATCCCTTCCTTGGGTGGCTAGATTCTCACATCTGGTGCACCCACCATTACATTCCTCTCTTCATCTTTTTTGTATCCTTCGTAGTAGACCTATAGGATAGCATCCGTTTAGCCTCTGACTCGCACTCTCATATGCTATTACTGTGAGCTGGGTGCCCTGTGTCCTTACAAGTAGAGTGGGCTGTAACACTACTCCCCTTCCCTTCTAGCATTGTCTCAATCGCTTAAGTAGTTGGTGTGGTCTTTCTTCACTAGGTTAAGTTTGTCTTCCTCCTCTATTATGCCTGCTGTTCATTTAACATATAAAGAACGTCATGTGCTTGCTAACCAAATTAAAGTACAAGGCATTGAAATGTTTCGTTGCACTAATTGTCAAGGTTCCTTAAAAAAAATGCTATGTCTCTGTAGCTTCGGCATCCGCTCGTTATAGGGAGTGTGTCAAATCGGGTTTAAAGTGCAATGTTCGAAATCTACCTATAAGTGACTAGGCTGCCATTAAGCGCGAAGAGTCCTAGGTTGCTAAAGCGCTTATGTAAACTACTGCTAAGTTGCATGAGATGCTAGCCCGTCCATCTCACCTAATGAAGTAACAACAATTTGTTCATACTTAGGCTAAGGAAATGTTATAGCGTGGTTTGGATAAACTTAGATGAGCTTGATGCTGTCGAAATAGAGGAGCGAGAAGCCCCTAAGGCTTCTACTTCCGTTATGTAGAGCTCTGTTCTTTTCGACCCCCTTGCTGCTTCTCCCGCATCTTAGGATCGCTAGTTAATGGATGTTAGCATTGATATTCCTCTAATAGGCTACGACTAATGTTCTGTGTAGTTTCTATGACTTGTCTGTAGGTTTATAACCTTTTCATTTTATCAAAAACTCTTCTTTACGTCCTACTAACTTCTGTCTAGGATTGCTTCGACCTTATATTCAATGATCTCATTCTCTAGCTAGAGTTACATGTTAGTCGCAGTTAGGGTGTTTCCTCTTGTTAGTTCTAACAATGAGACATGAAAAACTAGGTGTAGTCTAGAGTTCTTAGGTAGCTTTAGTCTGTAATTAACTAAGCTGACTTTGTTCTATATTTTGAATGGTCCTAATTTCTTGAAGTCTAACTTCGTACTTTTTAGGATAGACATTGCCTAATCTTGTCTAATGTCTATCCCAAAAAGCGAAAACATACCTGTATTAGTGCTATAGAAAACCAAAATACCACTCGAACGAGAGGGGTGGGATATCGGGATGCGCTAGCTGTTCAACGAGTTGACGGACGAGTGCATATCCATCACCATCAATTTAACCCTAAAGCATCTCCATCGTATGCAAATCAGTTTTCCCCAGCCGCATGCGCATCCCGAGCAAATCTCCCCTACTGGCCTTCAACCGAATTCTCTGCCTCCGATCGAGAAGACTGCGAGATTTTCTCAAGTTCTTCCCGCATCGGGCGCTCGTAGGTCGACATAATCCTGGGAATCATCGCTCTAATCCGGCTGGTGCCCTCGATATTTGACATGCCGGACCGGAAAACTCCTGCTACCGAAATCGGAGTTGGCTTTTTATGCCATGGAGTGAGAAGGCGTAATACGGCAACGTACCTTTGCATTGTACCAAGGCATCGAGTTTGGCTTCGGCTTTGGCAAGGTCCCAACCAGCGTGGTCTATACAGCCTGCGATATACTTGTTGTACCCCTTAACATACCGATGGCCTTGAAAGCGATTCGGCTCATCGAATAAGGCGTATCTACACACCAAGTGGAAGAATGCATCTATTAAATTTCGGTCATATATGTAGGCCTCAACGTCGACCTGACGGCAATCCGGCATATCGATATCCCAGAAATTCTTATACATCGTTGCCGCCCCCATAACTTGGTTCATGTGGTAGTCGATCGATTTTCGCATCAATACCAGAGCGTTGAAACTAAGCGGTTCACAAATATCACGGAATAGACCGATAATGGAGCCATGGAATGGTATGTTTTTCGCTGCTGAAACGTTCATAGGCCAGCTTGCCATGTATCCGCGCGCTTCTCTCTCGGCGGCCGTTTTCACCTGATGATAGGAGAGAGTTTTGTACGCTAGCTTCGGTAGCTCTTGTTGCAGTTCAGCAGTATCTTCGAGCTGTGATGAGTTGCTTTCCGGCTTCCTTGAGGGAAGCCCTGTTTCATCCGAATGTTCCATCGTCCAATTGTGATTCTGAGAGTTGATAGGTTGAAAGTCGATATGAGGAAGTTAAAAACCCGAAAATGCTATATTTTTAAAAAATATATTGCCAAAAGCAGAAAAAAGAAAGCAGAAAAAAAAAAGCAGAAAAAAGAATCCATCCCCTTCGTTTACAAAACCCACATTTCAAAATACCAAATGTCTAGTTGATACTACCAAGTCTCTCTAATCAGACGATGCTTTTGTTGCCTACTCAGGTACATTTTCGAGTTTGGCCACAGTTCTGTGATAGGGAGCTAGGGCGCTATCCTCACACCAACTTTTAGGCTTCGTCCAGTTCGAACACTCCGACTGAGACCTCGGACGTCCGCATCTTCCCATGAGGCCGGACTACCAGGTGGCAAAGCGGTAGAAGACACCTGTGTGGGAGGGGTACTTGCGTGTACTTGTCCCCATCGCCGCCGCGGAGGGGGGGAAGGAGTCACCCAGCACCATCAGCTGCTCGCCGAGCTTCGGAGCGCGAATTCCCCGCCTGTGTCTGTGAAGAGCCAACCCCAACCCCCTCCTCCTCCGCAGTATCAGGCAAACCAACGCAAACCAACCCCGTGACAACGGAAAAGTGTGAGTGCTGGTTATGCTGCCTGTCTTTGCAAACACTTGCCTCGGGAGGGAAGGGTGAAGAGACCACGCACCAACCCCGTAGGGACTGGGAAAGGGGAGGAGGTTCCTTCACCTGTCATGAGTAAACCATTGGTGCGTCATCGATTACTGGTCTCGAAACCAGAGCAAGCAGAAAAACCAGGCTAGGTGGTGGGGTAAGGGGGATGTTTGTGTGTAGGAGTGGTATGCTGCCTCATCTTCCCAAGGAAAGTGTGAACAGGCAGGCGGATGGAATGGCATACTCGTCACCATTGCCGTCCCCTCCCGGCTCACCAGGAAGGCAAAACCCAACTTCCCCAACGGGTAAGATGACAGAAATAAGCCCACGCGGCGATGATACCCCTCCAAACGAGTCCTGAAGAGAGGGGAATTGGAAATCATGATGTACTAACTCACCGAGATGACTAGGGAATGGCAAACCCAATTCCACATTCCACCCCCATCACCATCGTCATCCCCTTCATCCCCGTCATCCCCGTCATCCCCGTCATCCACGTCATCCACGTCATCCCCGTCATCCCCGTCATCCCCGTCATCCCCGTCATCCCCGTCATCCACGTCATCCACGTCATCCCCGTCATCCCTCCCCCCCCTGCCTGCCTGTCTGTGTGCCTGCCTACACTCCCTCCTCCCACACCCCCCCCAACACCCACTCGGCACCCCTCCCGCGGCAGACAGGTGGCAAACCCCCTCGTGTAATGTTGTGTAATCCCAACGACAGCGACAGCTGGTAAAAGAAAGGGCACGCAGGATACGGCATCACACCCTAGCTACCTAGCAGGACATGGTCTTTACTCTAATTGACACCGTACGCACTTGCGTGGGCGATAGGGTTAGGCAGTAGAGTTGCATAGCCTGGTATGCCGAGCTGAACGGGTGTCATCAGCCACGGGAGGGAGGAAGGCAGTGTGCACAAGGCTGCGCTGTGCTGGGAAGGACAACCCCAACGGTCACAAGAGGAGGTCGTCGGTGTCATATCATCACCTGGATATGATGTCGAAAGGGTGGTGTGCAGCCTAAACCCGCCAATCCTCAGCCGCACGCCACACCAGCGGGCCCCACGACGGCCATCCATCCAGGCAGGCAGCCAGGCAGGCAGCGCAAAACATGGCAGGAGGTATGGCGACGTTGTTCACGCGGGCATTTATTCATCGAAAGGGGTGAGGGAAAAAATCCTTCACGTCGTTGTTGTTGTTGTTGTTGTTGTTGTTGTTGTCGTCGTTGTTGTCGTCGTCGTCGGTCTAACCTCCCTCCAACTTCTCTCACGATCAACGGGTTGGAAGCGCGCGCCGGTTTAGAGACCATTACCGCCTACCCTCCCCCGTAAGTACCTCTTTAGAACTTTGTAAATAGAAACAAAGAAACAAAGAAACAAAGAAACAAAGAAGCCAAAAATCCCTCACCACCAAAAAAACCCATCCTCCCGTCCAGCGTCTCCCCAAACCCCAAACCACTGCCAATACACCTCTCCCCTTCTTCTCGCATCGTGGCCATGAAACACGGTCGCCGTCGCCAGATTGCCGCCAGCGCCAAGGCCCGGGGCCAAAGCCAGGCCGCGGCGTCTAAATTTACCGGTAAGTTACAGTAAGTTACTCGAGTACCCCGTTCCGTTCCCTTTCTCTACCCTGGTACGTACCAAAGGGGACGGACGGGGTGAGTGGGCGGTAAGCGAGACGATTCCCGAAACGGCCATCACCAACCAACCATATGGGACTGAATTGGCAGCGCAGCACGTTTCAAGCTGTTTTGGGTGGTTCGATGATGCGGAAGATGGGAATGGGAAATACGGGGAGAGGTGGGAGGGAGGGGAGAACGTTTGAGGCGCTGTCACTCTCACCCTTTCCCCTCCACTCAGTATTCAGGCCGAGTCAGATAATACACCCCCGACCACGATGACTCCCCTGGACACATCCTCAGCGCAGCGCAGTGGGAGGCATATTCCACCGCAACCGTGCAGCGATGAGTCCCCTCCACCACGCGATCACAGACGACTGACTGCACACAGAAAAACGCACCAACCAGGCGATCATGAGAAGTTGTATCCGCGGGGTATCATTGGTCCCATGGGACATTTTGGCTATGGGGGGGGGGGTAGAGTAGACCGGAGGAGGGATGGTAGGGCTGTGCCCCTCTCATCCCCTCTATCCCCTCTATCCCCTCTATCCCCTCTATCCCCTCTATCCCCTCTATCCCCTCTAATCCCCATCCCCTCCCCACCAGGTGGTGGTGGTGGTGATGACGACGATGACGATGATGATGGGTGCGGTGATGGGTACCAGTGACCTCAGTTCTGGCGACGGTAATCGCGGGGTAAACGGTCGTCCCACCCGCGACGATGACGATATCCCACCTCGCCGGTGAGGGAATCACCCTCACCGAGAACGAAAGCAGCTCCGCAAACCCTTCAAACTCGTGCCTTTGTATGCAGGGCACATGTCCACGTCGACGGTTGCAGTGTCCCATCTCCCATCTCCCATCTCCCATCTCCCATCTCCCATCTCCCATCTCCCATCTCCCATCTCCCATCTCCCATCTCCCATCTCCCATCTCCCATCTCCCATCTCCCATCTCCCATCTCCCATCTCCCATCTCCCATCTCCCATCTCCCATCTCCCATCTCCCATCTCCCATCTCCCATCTCCCTCACCCCCATCATGCACCACCCCATCATGCAACACCCCATCATGCACCACCCCATCATGCACCACCCCTACCTGTCAAATCCACTCAACACCCTCACAAAACATCCCTTCGTACCCCCATGTCCAGACCATGCAGAAAATGAAAAATCCAAAAAATTCATATGTAGCTGTACATGTTTGTTTGTCCCATCCCTGTCGCACTAAAGCAGCCACCAGGCAACGACTGCGGGCACAGCGCTTGTGATTGATCGAAAGGGATCTGATGCCTAATTATTACTGACCCCATTTTAGCCAAGGCCACTCCCTTTGTTGACTGTTTGACTGTTTGAGTGTTTGACTGTTTGAGTGTTTGACTGTTTGACTTTTGACTTTTGACTTTTGACTTTTGACTTTTGACTTTTGACTTTTGACTTTTGACTGTTTGACCACCCAAGAACAACCTCGACCTCCTACCGACCGAGTCACTGCCCCTCTGCCCCTTCTGCCCCCTCCTACTCCTCTGCCCCTCATACCCCTCATACCCCCCCCCTACCCCTCATACCCCCCCCTACCCCTCCTACTCCCCCCCCCCCCCTCCCCAGAACATGCCTTGACGCCGCTCTGCCCACATCTTCTCACTCTCCCACCCAGTTCGCCTTCTGACTTGCTCATCGCAGCCCAGTGGCTGACAATACGGTCAAGCGGGGGTCGGACCCGCCAGGAGCCGCCATTGCCTGCCTGGAAAGAGGTAACTTTGCCAATACCCCAAGTACCAGATGTACGTCTTTGTCGCTTTCCCATCTTTCTTTGTGCGTCCAGCTAGTTCCGTTTTCGGTTCTCATACCATGTCCTCCTGCTCTCTCTCGTCTCTCATATCCATACATATAAGGGACACCGTCTGCTTCATCTCATCTCATCTTCTCTCCTCTTCTCTTCATATACTCCATACCAACACAACTCCATACAACTTCCATCACCTGCCTCGACGAAAACAGTTCATCCCATACTCCCATCCACTTAGAGCATCCCAAGACTATCATACCAAACCACACTTACCCACCTCACCATCATCGTCTCCAACAACCACCGCATCACCACCGACGAACAACTCGTCAACCACCAAACCTCACAAAGACCAAATCCCCGAGTGCCCTCCCACTCACCCACCACCACACTGGCCCCTCGATCCCGTCTCTCCGGCCCAGCCGCCACAACGGCTCCTCGCCCTTTCATCGTCTCTCCCCCCACCTCCGACGCCCACAACACCAACCTCACCCTCCTCACCCCCCCATCCCCAACAATGTCTCACCACTCCGCCGGCGGCCCCATCCCCATCCGCACCGCCAACCCCCCCCCCGCCAACCCGACACCGCCTCCCTCCCTCTCCGGGCTTTAATCTCCAAACTCACCTCCCTAACCTCAACCTCCCACTCCCTCTGCCACACCATCCGCTCCACCCGCCGCCTCTCCCCCTCTGGCACCGCAACCACCACCCTCGCCGCTCTCGAGTCCTCCCTCGCCGACGCCCTCCCGCGCCTCTCAAACCTCTACGCCTCCCTCCGCGCCACGCACGGCAAGCCCCTCGATATCGCCGACGCACCGTCCCTCGCCGCCCTCGACGCAGCAGTCAACACCCTGAATAAGCACGTCAAAGCGCGGCTGGCTAACATCGCCGATTCGCGCGCGGGCTCAAAGTCAAAATCGGGATTCAAGGAGATCGGGACTACATTCAACGCCGTCATCGACTCGGCTGAAGACGCACTCACTGCGCTCTCCGGCCGTCTCTCCGCCGCCTCCGCCCCTGCCCCAGCACCCCGCCCCGAAGCCGCACCGATCCAAGAAGCCCCGCATAGACCGCACAGGGTCTCGAGGACGCGCGAGAGCGAGCCCCCGCGCGTGCTGGAGAGGGGGGAGATTGCGATTACGTACCGGCAGTTTGAGAGGATGGATGCGGTGATGCAATCTTGCTGGACTGAGGAGGCGGCGGAGGGGGGGAGACGCTTCAGGAATGTGGCGGATCCGTCGAGGGTTGTTTATGGGGTTGTGCCTGAGGGGGGGTTTGTGAGGGTGCTTTGAGTGTCTCGGACGTGGGAGTGGGGTTTGATTCTTTCTGATTTAGCGATGGCGATGGGGATGGTACGATATGATGCGATGGGGACATGTTTGATGCTTTTTTTACTTTCCTTTGTTTGGATTATGGGGGACGCATGGATCCTGGAGGTTCTACATCGGGATTTCCTTGGTTGTTGTCATCATTATTAGCATTATCCTCCGCATACGTGCGTTGAGGTCCCCTCGGTGGGAGGGAGAACAGAACAGGACAGACGAAGATAGTCTGGGACTTTTCCACCCACGAGTTGGGTGGAATATCAATAGTAATATGTTTTTTTTTTGGATACAACACTTTGTCTTTGCGATTTGCCTGTAACTGCGACTGCGACTGATCATGAACGCGAACGTGACTTAACTGACCTTATCCCGACTGTTCCCTCCCACAACCCCCCCTCCAACCTCACGTCTGGATATCCGCGAATTAGATTCCGCTACATCCCCATCTAGACTTTCCCCCCCCCCATCTCAGCCCAGTGTCCCGTCGTTTGCTTGGCTGCCTACTCACCGGTCCCGCCCACGCGTCGATTTACGTGTTTGCGTGCTTACCTCTTAGTCCACTCCTGCGTCACAGCCTTCGGGTTACTAACACACTATCTGGTTGCTAACCCATCCTTGTACATTCTTACCTGTCAACTTATCCGTCCAGCTGTCAAGTTGGTCGAGTCAGATAGATAGTTACCTAGCTACCAGGCTGCTTGCTTGCTAGCTGCCAGGCACCTACTACCTACATCCACTCACCCTCTCCCGCTCCCGCATCTCTCCCGCAGCTGTCCGCATCGTCCCAAAGGTCTAGCCATTCAGCTGCTCTGGTCAGAGCAGCTGCGCCACCTCATCCACTGCACGAGCCACTTCTGTATCTGTACGGTGGAGTACTCCGTACAGTACAAAGGAACGGATCGGGAGGGAAGCCACGGTAAGCAGCAGCCACGAGTTACGTTATCCCTTGTGAGAGAAGGGCTAGAAGAAGCAAGCCACAGATCCTTCGGTGAGAAGCCACAGGAGAGCGGGTGAGGACGTGCAAGCCACTCCGCACGAGCCATATCTAAGGCTGTAAGCACCACACACGTTCCCTTTGGAGTATGCGTAGGATTGGTCCACGGCACCGCCACGGGTCTGGCCATGCTGCTTACGGCATGGGTAGGTAGATGGAGGGATGGTGCGGGTATGCGGGTAGGGCGGAGGATGGGGCTGATTGTGTAGACAAGAGAGTATAGTAGAGCTCCCTTCATCTTCAAAGGGAACCCTCGCCCCATAGGTAGGAAGAGTATATTCCCCTCCGACAGGAAAGAAACCCACAACCCCACAGTCGTACGCTGCGGTCTCTCGTCTACAAGTCCTGCACAGAGGTGAGATTTACACAACAGCGCTCAGGGATGGGACACAGAATGGCAAATAATGTAAGTTAGGTAGAAGAAAAGTATGATTTTGTCATTCACCCCCCTCCTCCATCCAGCTAATCTGAGGATCTCCAAAATCCTAGTTTGGATGGACGAGATGTTGTCGTCGGAGTGCAAACGCATTCCCAAACTGGGAGAGAAACAACATCGGCGAAACATATATTGTCCGCCAATCAATAGATGCTCTCTGCCTCCTTACGATTCTGAAGGTCAATATTGTTCTCGCAGCCTCAGGAATGTGGTTTGGTGTTCTTCACTCGTCGTCCATATCGTCGATCCATACTGGGATTTCAGCAATCGTCAGATGGATGAGCGATGGAGATGAATTCAGACGAATACTCCAATGTCTGTCTTGTCCGACATAATTCTCCCCTCCCCGCCGCATAATCCTCCAGTCCGCCCTCGCTCGCTCACTTGATAAAAAAACGCCCATTCCCCCCCCCCCCCGTTATCCCGCCGTTCGCAGAATCTAAGCAACGACCTCGACGCTCCTGCTCTCTCCGTCTGCCTCGCCGCTGTTGACTTTCTTCCCTGTCTTGGCGATTGCGCGGAGGACGGTGTCGTACTCGAGGGTGGGGGAGGCGATGACGGTGGCGGTTTGGGTGTCGAGGGAGACGTCGTAGGATTTTACACCTGGTGGGGGGTTAGCTTTGGTCTAGGTAGGTGGGTGAGGTTTTTGAGGACGGCATAGGACATGGGAGCGAGGGAGGCGGAGGGTCGGGGGAGGGAGATGGGCGATTTAGAGGGACAGCGAGGAAATACACACCATCCAGCTTCCCCAGCACGCGGTTCACAGCTCCAGAGCACCCACCACACGACATGCTGACGTTGAACTTGTAGGTGTGCTCAGCGCCCTCAGTCTGTGTCTCCGCCGGCGCAGCGACAGCGGGTGTTACGTCAGCCATTTCGTTCTTGGTATGAATCGCGGGGTATCGTTTCTTCTATCGTAGAGTTATCACAAGAGGTATGTATTCGAAGAAGATGCTGTTCGTGTGTGTATGTACGTGTATAATAGTATAGGATATACCAAAAAAACCCTAGCGAGGACAACAGCACGCCTTTATACCCCCCCTTCCTTCCTGTGCGATGTCGATCAACCGTCTTGATCTCCGCTTATCAAGCGGGTTTCACGCACAACTCGCGCACACAACCACCACCACCAACCCCGCCACCAGGTCCGCCTTCTTAGCGCACCCTTGTGTACACCAAGCACGTCAGTCCAGGCCCGGCGCTAGGCCCTGCGTTCAACGACGACGCGACCCCGTACGCCGAGAGGATGCAGCAAACCAGAATTTGCGCATGTTTATTGATGTGTCAGCGTATGGCCGGGTGTGCGATGGGATGGATGGGGGATGGGGCGGAGGGAGTGGATGTTTAGCCTGTTACGGGGAGGGGAGTTCCCGCGTTTCAACGGCGTTTGGCGCTGGGAAGGAGGGTGAGCATGTTTTGGAGGGGTTGGGGGGGGTTGGGGGGGGGGGTTGGGGGAGGGGGGAAGCTTATTCGGATCGTCGCAGGGTGAGGCGGTACGCTGGGATGACGCTGTTTTTGGGGGTGAGACTGGTGTGGTTGTTACAATGGGATGCATGTTATGGCTGGTTACAGCGCATATGCTGGTATTTGTATTTTTGGTTGCGGGCGGTCTACCGAGTATTACCCTCGTGCCTTTCTCCCGCAATCTCGACATTACCCGCGTGCCTCTCTTCCGCATCCTCCACAGTACCCTCGTGCGTCTCTTCCGCATCCTCAAACTCATCCTCCTCCTCCTCGTCATCATAATCACTATATCCCTCCGGAAACTCATCATCATCCTCCCTCAACACCCGCTCCACCAGCTCCGGATTATTCCCAATCTGCTCCCTCAGCTCCTCCCTCCTCCTCTGCCCCTCCGCTCTCTCCTCCTCCGTAACATGCGACCTATCCCCAAACAAATACCGATACAGCCTCCTCACGCTCCCCAAATTCCTTACATGCCCCTCCGCCGCCCAATCCCCCCGATTCAGCGCCTCCACAGCTGCGAACTCCCCATTCTCCGTCTCCCGGTCCACAATCTCCTGGATCGGCCCCGCCTCGATCACGCCAGGTATCAACTCATCCGTCTCGGGCGGCGGACCCCTCCACCCTGGGATGAGCTGCCGTATCGCGGCGACGGGGTCGAAGAAGCCCTCTAGTTCGCCATTAGGCCCCATCCCCGATGCGCCCGTCGCGAACGCAAGGCGCTGCGTCGGGTGCGAGAAGATGTTCATCTCGGCCTCCGGGGGAAGGGGGTCGGAGTCCGAGTTTGGGAGGCGGTGCATGAGGTGGGAGGGCACGAGCGACATCAGCGCGGGCGTGTTGTCGAGGTAGATGAAGCGCGCGGCGTCGAGGTCCATGCATTCGTTGGGAATGGGGATGATATCCTTGGGGTCGGATTTGCCTACCGCGTGCGCGACCTCGACGAGGAGGGAGGTGGCTTCGGGGGTGCTCCAGAGGTCTTTCGTTTGCTTGATGTAGACGCTGGAGAAGAATTCTTCGCCCTTGTTGCGGGGGAGGATGCCCCAGATGGAGGGGGGCGCGTCGTCGAGGTTGAGCTCTTTGAAGAGCAGGCAGAAGAGGTAGGGGAATTTCTTTATGGCTCGGCCGAGGACTTCTCGGCACTCAGCGCCGTGCTTGAGATGCATGTGGGCAAGGGCCAGGGATGGAAGCTGGAAGTCTTCCGTGAAGCCCCTGTCGTCGCCGAACATTGGTGATGATACGGCGTCTACTAGCCACTCAAATTGGTGGGCTCGTATTGCTAAATGGTGAACGACGAGTTTGAAGCAGTACGGATCGTCTTCGAGGTCAAGTAATAGGAGAAGCTTGGCCCACTCAAATGCAGTCCTATAAGTCCCCTTCATTGTCAAGCTCCTGATGTAATGATAGCCCGCGAGCCATAACTCTCTGTTTTCGGGTCTGGCGAAATCCAGACGCGCTTTACCTAGGGACATCTTCGTTGCGAAGAGTGACGTGGCGGCTCGTCCGAATGAAAACAGAGCACGCTCGATGAGGTCATTGGATAGCGAATGATCCGATTGATCTTTGGCTATCTTACTCACTTGGAGGAGCAGTGAAATGTGATATGCTAGTTCGCGTCAGAAAATGTTTGGGGGGATGATATGTCAAAACGTACGGTTTTTCTGAAGCAACCCTATGAGGTTCTGGGGGTCGCCCATCTCCACGTATATTCTGAACTGGTTCTGTACTGCTTCGTACGCATTGTCGTGTACGAATCTGAACTCATTAGTGCCGTCGATGAGCTCTATCTCTTCGACCTTCTTCATAGTAAGGCCTCCTGTAGTTGCTCGTGGCCACTCGTCTTTGCCTTGTATAAATATATTCCTCCTCAGAGTCACATCAGGCAACCCCTTTCCAGGAGCGTGGTGGCCCTTCAATGCCGTTTCGAGGTCAACATGTTGTTGCTGTGCCCTCTGCCGCCTTCGTCCTCCTCGTGGCACAGGCCCACCAGCCTCATCGTTGTCCTCAACGGCAGCTCGGCCAAAGAGATTTCTCATCTCATTCCCTACTTTGAGGTGCTGGCTATTGATGCCTAGCAAGGTACACATCCGCTCATAGTTTGGGTCCAGTTCCAGCTTCGGTAGCTGTGGTATTTGCCCGGCCTTTTTATCGCTGACATTGAGCTCTCGAAGGGCAGCATCTATGTCGTCCCCATCATCTTTTGTTTCGGGCTTCTGAGCTTCACTTGTTTCTTGTGCCTTCGCTTTGGCTTTCTTCTTTTTCTTCTTTGACTTCTTCGCTTTTTTCGGGGCAGGAGATGGCTGGGCTTCGTCAGCGCTCATGTGAGACTTTTCGTCTATTTTCGTTTCTTCTTCGTCGTCATCATCAATATCCTCATCTTGCAGTGCAGCAAAACTGGAAAATAAACTCGCTTTTGCCGGTGGGCGGTAGTCTTCTTGCTCGTCGTTGGACCCCTCCTCAGCTGCTGCCTCTCGGAGTTTGGCCTGCTCCAACTCCCGTTGCTGCTGTAGCTTTCGTATTTGACGGCTAGACATTTTCTATAAGGATACTATATAGGTACATACAATCCTCAAACTGCGAATATCCTCGGTTTTCACCCAAAAAAATGCGTACAGCTCGTGGCGATAGGTGTTTCTCATGACGCACCCGTGGGATAAAGTGGCAGAACTTCACCGCTTGCTGATGTTTTCGGCTCGCCGCATATCTTCCACTAAACACGCGACCAGGAGACCTCAGTGGCTACTCTAGTTGAATGTCGTCTTTGATTGTCCAAGACCTCACTCATAAACACCACCAGTGACAGTTTCACACTCCAGTGCCCAACATTATATACGTTCTTTTAATCTTCTTTGGACAGCATGCTATTGTACCTCAATATAACGCCACTTTGATCTCTTGATTACCATCCCCTCGGCTTTGCGACGCTCCTGGAGGTGCGGTTCGTCAACTATCCAGCCTTCCTCTCTGACAGTCCAGAGACCTCTCCAGTCCTCCAATGCGTCGAGCTACTATACGAGCTCTACGAACTGCTCGTCGCGCTCATATCCAAACCTTCCATAACAGTCGCAGCGGCCATTCCTCGCAGTATGTGCAAGGATTAAGGTCCGCTTCAACCTCGAACCGACGCGAACCCTTGCCAGCGCCTTTGAAGTCTTCCATGCATATCAGAAGAATATCTGTGGCGGTTGCATCAGGTCTGGTTGTTGCTGGAGCTTGGTACGGTTACAAGGGATCTGTCACATCGGAGTCATCAAACGGGCAAAGCCAAAGCCTCACTACATCCGCCTATTCAGGCGCAAACGCGGCGGAGACCAGTGCGGTATCATCAGCGAATACCCGACAAGCGGTTGTGGTGACTGCGGACTCGATCTACACTGGATCCATTGAAGGCGACGAACCCATCTCCAAATACACCGACAACTCTGGTCGAAAGGTTTTAGAGATGCTCACTGCGGAACAAGCGACACAGAAGCTGCGGACAAACGAGGAATCATACTTTGTTGGCCGTGGCCAAGGTGTTGTGAGATACGATGTGGTGCAGATTCCCAGCAATGACCCCATCGAGGACGACCATTCCGAGAAGATAGTCGAGGTGCCTCATGCGGTGGCGACCACAGCGTCAGGGAGCCCTAGCAGTGACTGGATGTTCTGGGGTGTATATGATGGACACAGGTATGGAGCGCATGAAATAAACGAACCTACATTGGCTAATATCCCAACAGCGGCTGGACAACTTCCGCCAAACTTAGACAAACCCTTATTAACTATGTCGCCCGCGAATTAAACAGTACATACAAGGCTGCGCTTATCGATCCTACTCTTACCTCCCCTACCTCCCCTACCTCCGAAGCTATCGAAGCTGCGATTAAGACGGGCTTCAACAGACTCGACCACGAGATTGTACATGAGAGCGTCGAGAAAGTCATGAAGGCAAACTCAAAGCTTGCCGCCGCCGAGATGCTCGCCCCAGCCCTGTCAGGAGCATGTGCTCTCCTGTCGTTCTACGATAGCAACTCCAAGCTTCTCCGAGTTGCCTGCACCGGTGACTCGCGAGCAGTCCTTGGCCGCCGAGGCGCTGGTGGGAAATGGGTCGCAACCCCATTGTCCGTCGACCAGACCGGAGGCGCCCCCGATGAAGTTGCCCGCCTACGCAAGGCCCATCCAGATGAGCCGTATGTAGTCAAGAACGGCCGCATCCTCGGCGGCCTAGAGCCGTCTCGCGCGTTCGGTGACGCGATCTACAAGTGGTCTCGCGAAACCTCTGAGCGCATGAAGAGATCTTTCTTTGGCAAGACACCGTCTCCTCTTCTCAAGACTCCTCCGTATGTCACTGCCGAGCCGATCATCACCACCACGAAGATGGAGCCAGAAAACGGAGACTTCGTCGTCATGGCCACGGATGGATTGTGGGAGATGCTCACGAACGAGGAGGTCGTCGGCCTTGTCGGCCAGTGGATCGAGAAGCAATCATCTGAGAACAAGGGCTCACCAAACGGCTGGCTCAAACTGTTCAGCTCGCAAGAGAAGGGCCTGCCCGTCGAGCGTTCGACAACCAGCAAGTCGGACGATGGACAAAAGACACCCATCAGACAGCAGCAATGGGGCGTTGAGGGCGGAGAAAACCAGCGTTTCGTAGTCGAGGACAAGAACGTCGCAACACATCTTGTGCGCAACGCGTTAGGGGGTAAGAACGACGAGATGCTCCGCGCACTGTTGACCCTCCCTGCGCCGTATTCGCGCAGATACCGGTAAGAATCGCATGTGCCCTCGTTTACATTAATGACAGAACTAATTGCCCCATAGTGATGATTTGACCGTCGAGGTTATCTTCTTCGGCAACACCCCGAAGACTGGCAATGTGACCACCAACGAGGACGCTACGGCTCCTATCTCTGCCAAAGCGAAGCTCTAGGCGAGCTATTTTGAATACTTTCCGGCTTTCGCGTTGGTAGACCTCGGGGTCTAGATCTTGACGCTAAGGAAAGCTGGTCGAGCTATGGGGACGTGATTGTGGGTCAACCAAAACGATTAGATAGAAGATCTCCCAACCTCGGCGATGTGTATAGACCACAGCTGGGACAGATATCAAGCACGTTTCTCCCAAGCTTTATAATAGTCTGCCTCCCGCAAACCATATCGTGACATCATCCACCTCCCCTCTCACAAGCCAAAAAAAAAGTGATAGCAATAACCACAATCACCCACAAAAAAAACGAAAAAAAGAAATGCCGAAGCAATCAATCAAACACTGGAGAAACGGCGAATCGAACGCCGGACCTCTTCTATGCTAAAGAAGCGTTATACCACTAAACCATATCCCCTTTGTGTGTTTTACCTCAGCGCCACTAACCTATCCCAAGCCCGTCCCTACCTATCCGTGCCGAACCCAGCCGACATTCCTACTAAATTTATTTTAAATTTCCAAGGCGGTTTTGGAGCGGCCGGGCCTGGCCTCATAGTTCGGTGTGTGTGGGGCGCGAAAAAAGCACGTGAGGCTCCTTCCTTGGTATGATAATAATCGCGACTCCAACGCGGTTGTGGATTTAACGATAGAGGCGCTCAAAGAGGGGAAACTCGCAACACGAACCGCGTCGCTCTGTGGAGTCGAGGCGACGAAGCCTTTGTTTATTCCCCCTCTTACCCCCCCAATACCCATCCAATATCTCCAGTAACGCTGCTTGCAGCCTCCAAAAACCCCGTGTGTGTGGATCAACCATCATCACGACAACGTCATCACGTGTACCCCTCCATTCCAAAACCGAGTAACCATGAAGAGTCAAGTCCTTCATAAATAAACACCACCTCTCAGGCGCCTCCCCCGCCGCCCCGCCCTCCCCATCGAGCTCAACGCGCATACCGCATACAGTACCGCGCGCCGCGATGCTGCTACTTGCCGTATCTGCCGCACCATGCTATCTATCACTCCTCGCATGCATGTGAATGACACACACGGCGATCGCTAGATGTCTGGGACGTACAGGATGGCGAAAGGGCTGGGCTGGGTCGATTGACGATCGATGGCGCGGTCTGTTGCAGTGTCGTGCAGTGGTCGTGCAGTGGTCGTGCAGTGGTCGTGCAGTGGTCGTGCAAGTGGTCGGTCGTGCAGTGGTCTGGCGGCGGCCGCAGTGGTGGCCGCGCCAGGACCGCTGATCTGGACTAACAGCGTAGCGGAGGTGGTGCGGGATTGGGAGATGGGTGCATGAGATGCGCAGACTGGTGTGTGGAGGAGGATACCAGCGAGTTGGGCGCCGTGCAGTTAAGATGTCTCACTTCGCGGTATGCATGATCTGGCATGATCTTGAAAACGCGGCGAAATTTCCCAAGTTATGGAGAATAGGTGTATGTGTGTGGAGGGATGGGGGAATGATGAACAGTCATACATACATAGTCAAATTCGACAAAGGACAGAATGGCACGGGAAATCAATAAATAGGCATATGTATGTCAGATATTAACAGGTCATATTTCTTCTTCGCACTGAAGCGATGGGCAACGACGCCCAGTAGTCTGTCTATCTACCACCTCCTCTTCGCCCACTCTGGGCGTTTTGCATCTCCCTTCCCATTCCCATCCAGTGTTTTCCAGCAGGCTGCGAGCCCGGTTCGTGAGATAAAGTCTTCATATGCAACTCAACCCCAGCTCCCCGGCCCGGGCGAAACTAATGCTGTACATACAACCCAAACGAATACATACAAGTCTTTTCCCTATCGTCCCCCAATTCGCCCCATCCCCCGCCCGCTTGCGCCCGGGGGATGGTGCGGTGTAATAATGAAAATGGTAGTGTGTGTGCGCGTGTGTGTGCGCGTGTGTTGTTTGTTGTTGGCCGTAGCGAAGAAGGAGGGTTGTGTTTGAGTACAGAGTAATTGTCCACAGAACAATGTATAAAAATGACAAAATGTAGAATGTGCCGCCGGTACTTTTGGAGGAGTGCCGAGGCCGTTTAAACGTGTGAGTGCTTCGGGTTTTTGTGCAGGTACCTTTGTAGGTGCTATGTCGTGATATGGTTGTGATGATGTGTGATGCGATGTTTGAAAAGATTTTGGTTCCGCAAACGCCGTTTTGGGGAACCCCGATCGCTAAAACGCTATACAAATATTGGGTATCAAAGAGAGAAGGATTATAGGTTGGTCGTCGAATGATGTAATATGAAATCAAGAGTTGGTAGGTGTTGGTGTCAACGCGAGCTTGTCGCGTGTATGCGCCCATGAGAATAGGTCAAACTTCTCCTTCGTGAGGATGGGTGTGGGGTGAGAGAAGGCGCCTTGGAAGTCGACTGGGGAGGTCTTCTGAGTCATGCGTGGCTCAAGGAGCAGTGACTTGCGGTAGTATTGTTGAACGTTGTTCGAGTCGTTGGAGGCTCTCACGCGAATAACCTGCGCTTGGATCCATTCCTGGAGCTCAGGGACTTCTGCAAGTCTGTATGGGATCTGGAATCGTTGGAGATCGCCAATGATCTTCGCAGTGCGCGTGTGTTTGTCGAAGTTGATGACAGCCATACCCTTCTCCCCTGCACTGCCAGTGAGTTGCTTGGTAGCCGGGTTGCCCATGTCAACAAAGGTGAGATCAGTGAGGTAAGTGCCAACAAATGGAAGGCAAGGCGGTACGTGGCCTTGCAGTCTTTGCCTCAAGACAGCGTGGTTCTTCGTTGGCTCGACAATGTCTTGAAGAACCTTGAGCATCTCCTTTCGCTTCGGGGAGATCATGTCCCACGTCTTCTTGAGGCGCGTGATCATGGAGGAGTTGATCGAGCAGATAATAGCCATGAGCGAGTCGTAGTTGTTGAGGATAAGGCACTCATTTGCGATCTTGATCCAGTGCTTGATGATAACAGCTCGCTTCTTCGCATCCGACTCGGACTGGAGAACGGTATCGGCCACGAGGTTGGACAGATCAGTCGAGAGAGTGGACATTGCCTTCACGTTAACTGCGTTCGATCCAGACTTCTTCATCCACTCCGAAGCAAGTAGCTCTTCGGGCATAATGGTGCAGAAAACGTTCATCTCCTTGATGGTGAGTTGGCGAGCCATCTCGACAGGGGAGAAGTCGAGGATAGATGGAGATGATCCACCCATCTTCCAGGTCTTGAGGCTGTTGATCTGGCTTTTAGACAGGATAGGTGACGGTAATGGTGTATCCGGTGAGATATATTGAGCAATCGAGGTGCTCGTCTTGCCGATAGATGAGAGAAGGCGCGGGGTAATTGGCTCCTCAGTCGCTGCGACCTTCTCAGCCAGCTCTGACAGCCGGCGTCCTGCTTGCGGCAGAACTGATAGAAGTGTAGTCCCGGCGAATGATCGGATGAGCGGCAGAGCAACCTTATCTGCGGTATGTTGCCAATGAGTCTCCAACCAGCCCTTGAAGACGTTGTAGACGCGAAGGCGAACTGGAGCAGCGATGTGGAGGCTCTCGTTGACATAGTTGAAGCGCTCGATCAAAGCTTCGGAGAATGTGATTGGTGTTGCGAAGAGGCGGAATGTAAGATAGAATGTTGACACAAAGATAGCATCGGGGGTAGAGTCGTGCGATGTAAGTCGCTCAACCAATGCTGGAAGTGAGCCACCAGTAACTTGACGCTCTTTGTTGAAGATCAGCTCATGCGCGAAGGTCTTCTCCAGCACCCTTGATTCATCATCCTCGCGCTCATCCGCAGATGTGGCTTGGCTTTCCGGGATGCTGTTGACCGACTTAGACATCTGGTGGCTCTGGTGGCTCTGGCGATGACAGCTCAATTCGGGAGTCGTCGCACGGGTTGAGGTTTGCGATACCAAGCTGGCTTCCGAACCCCGCAGGCTGCTCATATAGGTACTGGGCGAGCCAGTGCAGGTAGCAACGCTATCTGAGCGCGAAGAGAGTAAATCATTGCTGGGAATTGAGGTTTGTAGTTGTAGGCCACCCATTGGGCCTCCGAGTTTAAGAGCGGGTAAGAAGGTAGGCGACGGTGCCAAAGTGGTCTTTGCCGTGCCAATGAGACCCATTTGCGCGTCGTCGGAAGTCTCGGCTTCCGATTCAGGAACATGTGGAAGAGGCTTCTCCTGGTCGATGATAACGAAGGATGGTAGAGGTTTCTCCATGTCGGTAACGGATGGTGGAAGAGTCTTTTCGAAGTCGAAGCCTGTCGGTGGAGGAGGCGGTAGGCTCGCGGGTTCTTCTAATGTAGATTCTTCGACAATTCTAGGGTTGTTATCAGTCGCGACATCAGCAGCGAAAGCTGAGACATCGATTCCTAATGCAGACGGTTCGAGCTCGAAGTCGCCCACGATCTCGATGAGGGACTTCGCCCTCTCAACACACTCTCCAACAGCAACAACACAACCGGTTGCCGCAGACTCGATAGAGTCGTGATCCTTTTGTAGTATAACATTGTCTTCTCCATCAGAGCTGCTTGGTCCGACACATTCTCTCGCGGCGATGACAAGTTGGTTGATACACTGGTACATGGTATCTCGGACATCTTGGAGGCTGGCCTCATTACGGACATCGCGGGCGCATAGTAATTCAATGATGGTACCCAGTGCTTTCCCTGCCGCAATTGCTTGACGTATACTGGTGAGAAGATCGTTCGAGCCATGAGCCAGGTGTAGGCGGCCCACAAGAGATCCAAGACACGATATGAATGTCTCATGTGCCTTGCCAAGTAGCTCCGACAAATAGTTCTGGCGACGCGCATCAAGATGCTGCCCCGCGGTCGACAATCTATGCGACAGAGATTGGCGACTCAATTGCATCGAAGATTGGCGTCTGGGGTTTTTTGTTGTTGGGGAAAAAACGCTGGACGTTCGCTTGAACGACTGTCGCTTTGTTTGTTCCTCGGCCGCCTCCTCTCTGGAAGCACCACCCCTAGAAACGCGAAGTGATTCCCGTCGGGACCCTGCGCTGGCTCTCGACATCGCGTTTTGGAACGTCGTCACGTCGGCTGGCGGGGTCGACGGGTCATAAGGCTCTCGCGTCAACGAGGTAATTCTGTTTAACGTATATTGCGACTCCAGATCAGCCAAACAAGCATCATGAAATCGCACACCTCGTGTGACAATCTTGAATGCTTTCAGTAGCATCTCATCGATGATACCTTGGCTGATATTCCCTGGCTCAGTCATGGTGAACATATGTTCCCGATAAGCTTGCAAGTGCTTCGATGTCTTCACAAGTGACGAGACATCAGAAAGAAGAGACCTGCGACTCCGGCGAACGATCTCATTGCTCAAGACGAATGGCGAGTCCCTTGTCAGGCAGTTTGATCGCTCCTGCACAACGTTGTTAGCATCCTAGCACAGACACTAACACACAAGATATACTAACGAGTAGTAGTCGTACACCCGCAATGATACCCTTGATGAATTCCTGGTTGCTGAAGATTTCATCGTCGGCTGTGATACCACTCTTCAGAAGATCCGAAAAGCTGATAAGCGCCCTCAGAAGACTTCGCATCTCCTCGGGCTCATAGTTCTCACAGAAGTTAGTTGGTACCCATCCTCGGTCGCCATCGAGGAGTAAAGTTCCGTCTGCCCATCCATTGGTATGTATGGAGTAAACGAGCACCACATCGCCTTTGTTCAGGTGCAACGTCACTGCCGGCTCCAAGGGACTCTCAGCTCGGTTGAATGGATAGACCGCACGCAGATAGTTGTGGAAGACTGGCTGCGGGTAGTCCATCTCGGTCATCGTCACATCGTCGTCGTATGCGCTGGGAGATGCTGGTGGTGTTATTTGTGTGCAGCTGTATCCGGAATACTCGGATGCGTTGTCGTTCTGTCGGACGGTGCCACTGTTGCTCGTCATATCAACACTCGACTGGGAATAATGGCCCCTGTGAATGTGCAGAGGTGTCACATGTGCGCTGCGCTCCGAGTGCTCTCTCATAGTCGCCATGACGGTCTAAGTTCGAAAACTACCATGGGCACTGATGTAGCTCCGGTTTGTCACTGTGGGGTTGGAAGTAATTCGAATCGTTCAAGTTGTTCGACCTGCAGGGGATACTGTATATAAGAAAGACCATTAGCTATCAAAGTTTTTGTTTTGTCTTGGATTGGTCGTTGAGGAACTCTTGTGCTGAGGAATGATGGCAGAGAGGGCCAGGGGAAGGTATAGTCACATACCAAGTCGGACCCTTCCTAACTGGTATAAATTTTTGTTTTCGTTCTTTGTTAACGCTCGGCGGAATTGTTGCTTAGCACACGACTCGTCAATAGCTTGTCCTTTGATCGAAATGTAATAATGGAAGTTTGTATATGAACGAAGACGTCGAAGTCGAGTGGGATTGGAAACAGGATATCAGGACAAGGACAACGTAAGAGCAGGGAGGACCAGAAAAGTTGGTTATGCAACTGGCACGGGCCCAGAGTACTTCTAATAAGGAAAGGAGCAACGCGCAGGGTGTAAAAAGTACAAGAGCTCCGCAATATTGTGTGAGCAACGGGCGAGAATGCTTGCACAAGAAACCAATGCCTTGGGTGGCGGTATGTACGTCCGTATGTACGTGGGAGGGGAGGGTCTCGGATGAATCGTGAAGCTTTGGGTAGCAGGGTTGTCGAGGGCTCCGTAGTGGATGGACTATCTGTACCCACCCGCACGGAGAAACTATACTGCAATGAGTAAAAGAAGGACACAGGGATGAGGGATGATGAGGGAAAGGACCAGGGGATAAGGGGAGTGGAGAAAGATTGAAGGACCAGAGGATCAACAGAGGGGGGGGTTTTGGGGTTTTTGGGAGCTCACCTAGTACTACAGCTAGTACAGTTTGGTGTGCAAGTGTTTTGGCGTAGTGTGGCTGTAGCGTGGTGAAAGTGTGATGGTGGAAATGACTCTCCTTCCTATCATCTCTCTTTCCTATTATTGTGGTAGGAACATGGACGGGGCAGTGTAGTCGGTGGAGTGCGTGCTTGCGAAGATAAGGAGGAGTTTGTGGGGGAGAGGAGGAGGAGGATGGTGGAGATGGAGATGGAGATGGAGATGGAGATGGAGATGGAGATGGAGATGGAGATGGAGATGGAGATGGAGATGGAGATGGAGATGGAGATGGAGATGGAGATGGAGATGGAGATGGAGATGGAGATGGAGATGGAGATGGAGATGGAGATGGAGATGATGGAGATGGAGATGGAGATGGAGATGGAGATGGAGATGGAGATGGAGATGGAGATGGAGATGGAGATGGAGATGGAGATGGAGATGATGGAGATGGAGATGGAGATGGAGATGGAGATGGAGATGGAGATGGAGATGGAGATGGAGATGGAGATGGAGATGGAGATGGAGATGGAGATGGACAGCGCAAGGTCCTTTTTCTGGCTAGGGAATGGTGTTTTTTGGTTCGCGTTATTCGTGCGGTGGTTGCTGTGGCTGTTGCTGTTTATCTGTGTGTGTATCTGTGTGTATCTATATCTGTATATGTCAGTATATGTCAGTATATGTCAGTATATGTCAGTATATGTCAGTATATGTCAGTATATGTCAGTATATGTCTGTATATGTCTGTATATGTCTGTATATGTCTGTATATGTCTGTATCTATGTCTGTATATGTCTGTATATGTCTGTATCTGTATCTACTCGAGTATCTGTATCTATCTGTATATGTCTGTATCTATATCTATCTGTATCTGTATCTATCTGTATATGTCTATCTATGTCTGTATCTGTATTTGTATCTGTATCTCTATCTATATCTCTATCTCTATCTCTATCTCTATCTCTATCTCTATCTCTATCTCTATCTCTATCTCTATCTCTATCTCTATCTCTATCTCTATCTCTATCTCTATCTCTATCTCTATCTCTATCTCTATCTCTATCTCTATCTCTATCTCTCTCTATCTGTATCTGTGCACACGCACACACACTACTATAGTCTCGAAAGACGCGACAAGAACGCGGTTATAACGGGGCAAAACCACGAAAGCTGAGGACAAGAAATCTCGCAGCGCTGATGTCGCACATACGACACACGTACAGCTATCCCGTCCGTTCAGTCATCCATAAAGAGAAATGTGACCGATATGTGAAGGGAATTAACTTTGTGCCGGGGAGAGTCAACATGGAGGCTTCGGAGGTACGGTACAGAAGCCGAGGACACAGCACAAGACACACACCGAGTACCTGAAGTCGAGGCAGAAGAGCGCAGAGGGGATGTACCTTCACAGTGCAAGCTGGAGGTGCAAGGTACATGCAACTTACTGACTGAGTACTTCTCCCCACACACATCAGCACAAACAACACCATGTACCATTCAATTGCCCTTTGAGCCCTTTCTTTTGTCTTTTTTCTTCCCCTCTACAGCGCACTCCAGCGCACTCCAGCACACCCTCAGGCACCTCCCAGCGACCCCCAGCACCCCTAGTGACACCCCCAGCCAGCACCCCCAGCCAGCACCCCCAGCCCCCCAGCACCCCCAAGCAACACCCCCAACCACCTTTTGTTACTGATCTCGAACCCTGTTCGTCCCCATCTGTACACTCCCCGTCCGAGCATTAGGTAGCCAAACCCTTTCTTTGAGACGGAACAGACTACACGCGTGCGAGGAGAAAGAAAAAAAAATACAAAACCTCAAACACAACAGAGGGAAAAACAACAACGCGGTTGAACTATGTTTCTTACTGATGCTACTGTTCTGCTGTACAATTCACAATTTTAATTCAGTACCAGGAGTACGTAACAGCCCCCCTAGCACTGTTATGGCTTGGGCTTGGCCTGATGGCCGACCGTGTCGAATCTCCACGAAGTCCCCTACTTCTACTAGTACTTCTAGGGATCATGACTAGTATCCCGCGACAACAGGGTTGAAATCCTATGTGGCTTCATGCCTTCTCAGACCAGACAAAGGCGTCCTCGAGTCTCAGACACGACATGTCCGAGATCATACATATATGTACATGCACTGCACCAGAAAAAAAGATCCTGTCCAAAATAGATCCGACCAACCGTACTTCATCCAATGAGTCTGGCCCGATTGGGGGACCCCCAGGTCCACGATTAAGCTCCCCAGTAATGTCTCCTATTTTTCTGATTCCCATTGTGACACTGCTGTACGAGACCGGTTTGTTTACCACCCGCGCGTGCATGAGCTACCACCAGGTTCTTTGCTTGGAGCGGCTCGACCATGGGGCGCGTCAGTTTCGAAGCTCGGGGATCGCTGTGAACCATGTCGCATGAAGAGATGAAGAGATAACAGCAGACGGCAGAAGACGCGACAGCCAATGTGCCTGCGTCTTTCAATGCGGCCATGTCCGTCGTCACTCGGAGCATCCAACGCCAAAGCTCACTGACCCCCATGAATCACAGAATGATGGGGTTTCTGTCAAGGGCTGGCCGGTTCCGCACACGCACACCATGGGTATCCCTGCTGGGCCAGTGTGATGGAGGCTGTCACCAGTTGCGAGTCGCGATTTGCCGCTCGTCAGAGCAACAATGCAATGTGCTATTGTGCCTCAACTCGCAGCTCATTTTGCCCCCATCGTAATTCGCTCAGAGTGCCTCTTTTGGACTTGTCACCCCCCAGTGCATCAAGGCCGCCTCGCAGCCCGCACCGAGACTGCAGTTCATCGTGCAGAAATGTATCACTCCTCAGCTCTCCACGATACTCGAGAACGTTCCAGGTCGCGGAAAACCGATTTGCTGGAGACAATGCATCGAGACACGGTCTCGAATCGTTCACGATTGATTAGCCCAATCCATGCGTTGCTTGCGATGCCCCCCTCCCTTAGTGCCGTTTTTTGGAAGCGCGCGAGAGAGCCGGCTTCCTTCCCGTCATGCCTCATCCCCGTTTTTCCAACGCCAATCGTATCCTACTTCGGCGTTATGCCTCTCTTCACAACTTTGATGGAGAGACGCGGGGGCAGATACACATCACATACCGCCGTCACACCACTACCGCGCACTGAGGCGTTGTGCTAATCACTATCACGCCAGATGTGTAGTTTGCTTACATGTGACTGCGGTTCTTGTCAACAACTTACGTATTGCGTATTGCGTATTGCGTCCATTCTGGGCATTTCAAAATATTGGAGCTATCCGGGTGTGAGCTTTGCCAGCTTATCCAGTCCATTTGCAGTTTTATCTATCGTTGGTGTTTGGAACGTTTCAGCATATGCAGCACTACTGCTGCGAAACGGAGCCACCATCAAATTTCTTATTTCTCGTGGGGAATCAATTGGAACCCCTCATTCTGCTTAGTCGTGTGAGCTCTTGGGCTTCATTCATCACGTCAGGCTGAACTATCGAAGGATCTACTGTCCAGCTGGTGTGCTGATGGCGCCATATTCTTGCTTCTACGATGATGCCAGTGATACTTTTACAGCACGAATCTTTAGAGCCGGCAGTTCTTCACACATAGCTCCCTGCTGAAGCAGAAATGCCCCGCGCAGTTGATGTCGAGCCATCTCCTCAACGGGGTTCTCCGCCAATGAAGCCGCGGGCACGTCACAGCAGCTCGCAGGTGACCCAAAATGCTTCAATACAATATGTAATCCTCGCCCGCCCTGTGGTGGTTCACATATGCAGTCTGACAATATTCTTCAAGCTCCACCGATTCTAGCCTAGTTTCCAGCGATTGCTATCGCAAAGTGACGGTTGCTTCGAGGCCTCCGTGGCCCCTTCGCCGTGCTTGCGCTGTGCATAACCGGGCCTCCTCATGCACCCACAGACTCGACTCACAGGCTGGGCTCTTAGGCAATTACCAAACCTACATTTCTGGAGGCAACAAGAAAAAGAGATGGCCCGTGTCATGGATATTCTGCATCTCGTACTGTTGTTAGACGCTGATTATTCCCCTCATTCTCACATAACCGTAAAACTTGGTTGCTGTACCCCTCCATAGATCCAAGGCAGGGATGTGACTTGTGTCCTGATAGCTACGTAATCGTACGTAGGACGGCACATATCAAGTTTTCTTCGCATTGACGCACGGATCACATATCATCGACATTTACAACGACGTTTGTTCCGGGATCAAAACACAACAACTGCCATAGAATATTGGACGGAAAAGGCTCCCAGTCTCGGAAAACCCGACAAAGGCTCCTATTCCCTTCTGACCGACAAACAGCGTGCTCCCCTCATGGGAACCATACTCCTCCCACCATTCTGTCCAGCGAGCGGATCCATCTTAGCTTAGCTCTCCCAGCGTTATCTTAACCCGCTGGCGAAACCGCGACACATGAAAAGCGCTCTCAGTGGGGCGCTCTTAACTTGCCTGCTGGGACAGAGAGAGCTCTAGCTAACAGAATGGAAGAGATCGTGGCCTTGGGAGGGGGTTATCGCGGACATCACACAACTCTCGTGGGACATCGCCAGGCAACTCCGCTGCATTCGCGGCGGAGTGGCAAGAGGGGAAGACAGGCCTGCTCCGTTCCTCACACCTCCGAGCTCCGGCATTGTGTATACGAGTACATTCGACCCAGGTCCGCCGAAGCTAAACCTGCCCTGACGGCGTCCTAACGCGATCCTAATCTCGGGCGTCGTCGATGACACCGTTATGCTCGCAAAGCCCAGCAAAGGCTAGGGAGTTACTATAGCCCCCAACCCCCAACGAGCTTTCGCTTCCGTATGAAGGGTCCAGGTTGCCTTTAGTGCGCCTGCCACGACGCCCCAGCCACTGGTACGGCGGAGGAGGCACCACCACAGCGTCCTCGAGGTGCTAGGTAAAGAGCTAAGCACATCCTGGGTGTCCCGATTATCCCAAGCCTTCTCCACCCTCTCGACGTTCGTTCCCCACAGCCAAATTAGACCATCTTTAGGGCTCCGAGCTCTCCTTGCTAAAGGCCAAAGGCTCTGATGTGAGGTAACTGGGGAGTCGCCCTTTCACCCTATGCGTCCTACCTCCCTCCTGTGCTGATACTTAACCCGTAGTATGCTGTGAGCGTTGTGCTCTCCCTCACCCGCGACCCTACCGCGATGGTAGTAGTGGTAAAATTTGGAATATGGCGCTACACAAAATCAGGGCCACTTTGAGCAGAGAGACAAGTACGGTGCTCGGTGTTACCAAGGCAAAAAGGAAAAGTACTCGCTCCCCCGTGGCTGTCCCTCCCAAATCGATAGCCGTCCCTCCCTCCCGGCGGAAATCAGAGCGGCAAGTGGGTTAAGCAACCAGCCAGGTTGTGCGAAGGGGAGAGGGGACGGCGATGGAGCGAACCGTGGTTCAGGGTTTCGTTTGGCTTCCTAAACTCCACACTCCCTCCTCCTCTGGCACACACGAGCATGTACAGTAGTCTACTAGTACACAATAATAGTACGAATATGCAACTCGGGGGGGCGATGCTGGCATTGCACTACGCACCAGCGCACCGGCGCACCGGCGCACCGGCGCACAAACCGCCTTGCATAAATGCAGCCCTCCAGCGGCCACCAGCGAGGCCAACGGGCCCAGACGCTTTCCCACGTCGCTTTTTTGCCTCACACACTCACCGGCCGCCGCCTAGCCTCTCTCCTCTCTCTCCTTCTCATGCCTGGTCATGCACCCGCATCCGTGTTCCAGGATCCCGATTCGCATTAAAAATCCCCACTCTCCATATCTCAAATCGCACATTCCTGTGCTGCGTACAATTCCAATGCCCACCCCCCCCGGCCCCTTCACTCCACATAGCATTGATCGCTCAGACACATCGCCTCTCCCCTGCCCAGTCCGAGATGCTGTGCCAGGATGAATCGCCAACGGCCGCACCGCTTTTCTCGTCTTACTATACACCAACCCATCTATGTAACCCGCCTGTCCCCCCAGCGCCCCCGCGGCCGTCGGAGAAGAAGCCGCAACCCAAAAACCCGGCGCCCCACCCACTGCAGCGTCCCGTGGCGCGCGGCGCCCTGTGCGCCCGCTCCGCCCGCTCCGCCCGGCCAGACGGGGGCCATCCCGACCGACCCAGTACAGTGCGTCCTGGGAGGCGGCCAGTGGTGTTGCTGGGTCGTGGTTACGGGATAGGGGATGCGCCGTGGCGTTTGCGTGGGGGGGGCGGGTTGGGATGGGGACGGTATTGGGGTCGGGGAGTTAGGGAGAGGCGTTGCGGGTGGAGATATGGGAGGGACAAGGTGTTGGGATTGGGGGTGTGGGAGGGTAAAAGGGAGGGTAAAAGGGGGGGGGTAAAAAGGGGGGGGGGTAAAAGGGGGGGGGGTAAAAGGGGGGGGTAAAAGGGGGACGAGGGATGGGTGGGTGCGAGCGTGCGAGTTGAGTACGGATACACGTGATGGATGTCTCGTGACTGGTTGATTTGGTCCCTGAACTGTTTGTTGCTTCTCCTCGGCATATACCCAGAGTCGATAAGTTGACGTGGTATCTTTCCTTTTGTCCATTGCGTAATTTAAGTCGTGAGCTTGGGCATCCACGAACGTTATCCTCCCACGTCCTCACATCGGGGCGTTTGGGGGGGAGGTAAACAAAGGGTTGACCGACACAAAACACTTGAAAATGAGGGTCCCGGTTTTTAGGGGATCGCTGCCGGGTTACGGCTGGCACCTTGGGTTAATGTCGAGCTTTTGTGATTTTGCTTTTCCGAGGACCCAGTTTCTTATCCGTTGTATTGATGGCGGCGGGTGATGATTGTCGGTAAGGATAGGAGCGGGCTCCCCACATAGAGGAGGGGTCACGTGTTGTGGAGTGATATTGCCAATCCCCTGCTAATATGAGGAATGTTTATGAGATTATTGTAGGGGGATGGGCGATTTGGGTGATATGGGCGATTTGGGTTATGGCTTAAATTTGTGTTGTGCTGGGTTTTTTATGTGCGGATTAAATCTGATATTGATATTAATGTTATTTTCTTACTCCTGATTCTGGCCCTGATTCTGCTTCTCCATGACAACGTGCCCCTTTCGGTACAATGCAGTGATAGCATAGGAATATCACAATGTAGTATTGTCGATATGCTATGCTGTCATATATCGTGTTGTCGATCAGAGTTATGTATCAGAATATGGAATAGAAAGTAGATGGGGATGGGAATAAATGCTGGGCAAATTATATCCAAAACACGGATGAAAAACTTCATAACTTGATCACATTCCAACGTTAACGCGGGGTAGCGGTTGTAACGGTTTACTCAAATGACAGTATCAATGTTTCAATATATTACCAGTGGTATAGCTTATATGATACAAGCAATCCCCCCTCACCCATTCCCCCTCCAACGCTCATTCGCAGCTATAGCATATCAACAAACATCGACTTCAATCCTATCGCCGGATACCTCTCCCCACCAACCCTCCTCATCCCAGGAATCGGCAATATGCCCCCCCCCTGCGCCAACAACCACGCCAGCGTCAGCTGTCCCACACTCACGCCCTCCCTCCCCGCCACCTCCCGCAGGGCGTCCACCATCTCCAGATTCCTGGCAAAGTTCTCCGGCGCAAACCGCGGAGACGCGCACCGTACGTCGCCAACTTCGAAGTCGTCGGGAGGCCGATGCGCGTCGGTCTATGCGCGATTGTGCTACGATAGAAACCCGCAGCTCGCGGCAGGTGCGCAGGGTGTCGGTGCTGGGGGACTCGATGTCCATGCTGAAGGGGGAATATTCCATTTGTACGCAGGAGAGGGGGTGGATGGCGTGGGTGCGGCGGATGGTGGTGGCGGAGGATTTTTCCGGCTCTAGGGAGGGGTTAGGATGGAGTTCTTCGGGTGGGTGTGGAAAGGGGTTAAAAAAAAGGGGGGGGGGGTAACTCACTCTTTCAGTTTGGCTAATACCTCCATGGTTTTTTCGATGGGTGTTACGCCGTCGATTCTGTGGGCGTAGTAGAGGTCGATGTAATCGACGCCGAACTTCTTCAGGCTCTGCCCGCAGGCTTCAAGGCAGTATTCGGGTGTGCTGTCGATGGTTCTGGCCTTCATCGCCTCGATCCCGTTGCCGCTTGCCAATGTTCCTTTGGGACTCGGTTACCAAACTATATGCTGATTAGTTGACATGTTCATCACACCTAAAGTTGATGATATTGCTCATCGCCGTTTTGAAACGCAGGAGTAACGCACCTTGGTGACGAGAAATATCTCATCGCGCTTCCCCGTCCGCTTGAACCACTTCCCAATTAGGTCTTCGCTATCTCCATACACATCTGCAGTGTCCCAGAACGTAGCTCCGAGCTCGTAAGCGCGGTCGAGGAACTTGAAGCGAGTCTCGTCGTCGTCAATCGTGCCGTACTACACGCGGAGACCCATGGTTCCCAAGCCTAAAGCAGGCAACTTCAGGGCCGTTACGGCCGATTCGGCGAGTTTCTTATATACCTCTTGCTCAACATTATAGCAAGAGGTATATAAGAAACTGAAGAGTATAAGTTAGTTATTAGATAGTATACAGAGTTCTAGGGTCAATGTGTCACCTTGAGGGTTGGTGAAACCAATTGCGAATGATGCTTAAATGTCGTTGCGATGATGAGGGTGTCTGCCAAGGGCAATCAGCCCCATTATATATACTTCCTATCTCGATCATTTGAGTCTGTAGCAAAAAACCGAATTGGTGTTTTCTGATGTTGCCATCGGGATTTGGAGACATGAAGGTATCTCCATGATTACGCCCGAAATACGCTAGCGGCCGCATCAGTCGCTGTATCAAAAGCATTTCCTGCGCCTTGCTTTACCTCACAGGGAGGACAAAACATATTTTTAATTAGCAGCTGGTATTCACACCTTGTATGCAATATATTAGCTAATAGCCGTTGTTACCTTTTTTGAGTGGGACGAATATTACATAATGAAAATGATATAACCACGCACAATAATTATTACCTTGCGGCAAACTGGGTGCTGTTTTTGGCTGGTTTGGGCGCTGCTTTGTGCAGCCGAGTTGCCAAAATCTCACGCTGCTCTAACGCTCGGGTGGCTGATAGATAGCGAAGCGGCAAGACCCGGACCTAGCTGACTAACGCAGGAACACCAAAACCAGAGCAAGGTTGAAGGCAGGAAGCAGCCTCTCGTCTTTGACTTGAAGCAGCCCTTTTGGCCCTCAGAATATGGGTGTCCTCCAGCCCCTTGTGACTAAGTCAATGATAGCTTTCCTTATGTCTACCGTACCTTTCCTTCCCACCAAACCTCCATACTTAATACCCTGCTCGCTCGCTCCTGTCTCTTTCCTCTTCCACAATACAGTTCCTTTAGAGCAGGCTCTAAACATCTCCTTCTTCTCTTCCCACACCAAGACCGTCGTTGGCTTCGTCTCCCTTCCAACATCTTCTACTTCTCTAACACAAGACCGTCGTTGGCGTCGTCTCCCTCCAACATCTCCTACTTTCCCTTTAACACCAATGCCGTCGTTGCCGTCGTCTCCCTTGAATTAATTTGATATGCGGCGTCGCGAGCTCTCACGAAGCTTCTCTAGCAGCAATGTGTCAGACTCCGAGAGCTGCTTCGATGTTGAGGATAACGTTGTAAGCGACTCCGATACTATTCCGACAGATATTAATACCGATGTGGAGGATAATGCTGGGGGCGGCGACTCTGATACTACAGATGTTGACACTGATGTTGAAGACCACCCGCCAGAGTACTACCTTCATCAAGAAGATGATTCCGACTCTGCACCTAAAATAATTAGTCTTATATACAGGCCATATAACTAGACACTTACAGTCTCGTTTACGATATGTGGTGAATGGAAATGGAGAGGCAATAGCAGTTGAGCTAGTAGAAGAGCTAGTTATAAAGGTGGAAGTAGCCATGGTCGTAACAACTGATCCTGGAAGAGATTTGGAGTCTGGCATCCCAGCCTGAAGGTTGGCGTAAATTGAATCTCGGTAAGCCAACTTGTTAACTGTACCGTCTAGCCTTGAGCCATCTTCTACCAAAACTCTCGAGACTGTCTCAATTAAGCTGTCACTCCCTTTGCCATCAGCGCTACTATCCCAAAACATGGCGCCTCCAAGACCCATGGTCCGAATCCAACCCGCCTTCTGTTTTATGACTGCTATGTTGTCATAGCTGATGAATTCTCGTTTATTATCATCGTAGCTATAACTTATGCCAAGTGTGCTATTGTAATACTCCTTAGAACCTGGTAGAGGCAGCACCTTAAAATCATAACTAGCTGGCTCCCACGTGCCTGCGATAGCGTCAGTAGATGGAAGCCCAAGCCCATCTGTTTGATTAAATGCGTGACCATAGATAGGCATCCCAAGCACTATCTTATCCGATTTAATGCCTCCTTGTGACACGTAATAGTCAACGGCAGTTTTTGTGTTAAATGTTGTAGATTTTGGGTTGGTATAGTCGTGGAAGAGGTTAGCTCGGTGAGTAGATGTATTCGGCGTATAATAATCATAAGCCATAAGATTCCAGAAATCAACATATTTATCCATTTCCGCAAGGTGTAGTACTTTATACTCTTGGGGCCCAGCAGGGGCAGCTCCTGTAAGCAGAAAGTGATACGATAAGTTTTGCGCATTTAGCGCAGTCCGGACTTCGTGCAGTAGTTGAACAAAGTTATTAGCTTGAGAGTCATTTATTGGATATTCCCAGTCAATATCCACCCCATCAAGACCAAGGTTCTGCACCAGCGAGACTACAGATAAAGCAAACCGAGAGCGGCTAGAGGGTGTCGCAGCTGGTACTGCAAAGTTATCACGATACTTCCAACCCCCAATTGAAAGAAGGACCTTGAGGTGTCGATGTTTTTTTTTTCAAGATATAAAGCTGCTGCAAGCAGCCGTATATATTATTCCCAGCATCGTTTGCAGCAGACTCCCCCTCAAAATGTTTATCGATGTCGGCATATTCATCCGATAGGAATACCTCTCCATCCGGTCGTATATTAGCAAACGCATAAATTACGTGCGTGACTTTATCCGCTGGTAGATCCTGCGGAAAGAACTTTCTGCCATATATGGCCCTGTAATCGTTAGACTGTCGAAGCACACAAGTAGGTGCATACCAATTCACATAATACGCTACATTTCGATAGCCCCCACTAGGCACCTGGGATGATGTATAGCCACATGAAAACTTGCATGTAAGTAGTAGTAGTAAGATTGTTAATTTAAACCGCATTGTTAATTACAGTACCATCTCCTGCCGTAATGTAACTAAAAAGTTATTGGGTATATATAATTCACAGCAAAATACCCGACAGCCCCTAATTATAGAGGGCCCCTTAAAAAGGGGGCCCCGAAACCAAATGCCAAAATGAAAACTTGCACCAATCCATCCCCCATCCCTCCCGAACACGGTTTTATGCCCCATCTTCGGTGGCCAAAAACGACGAGGAGCACGCCCAATCCCTCCCAAGGCCTTTGTGGCATTCTAGGCCACAAGAAACTCCTTTCTTAACACAGCCACACCTCTTGCCACAGGTGGTAGAGCACCTGCAACCTTCGCCCCTAGTTGCAAGATCCAGAAGTCGAGCACAGGTCTCTTCGAGCTGTGGGCAGTGTGGGGAATAATATTCAGAATATCACGATATTATCATGATATTATCACGATATTATCATGATATTATCACGATATTCAATATCATGATATATTGCCAATATAATATAAGGTATGTAAATATCATGTGATATAATATTAGAGCTGAATATCATGATATGTATCATAATATCACAGTATTAATATTGCTTTTTTTTCTTCAATTTCCGCATATTTGCTTTTGATTTTTCATTATCAAATCCACTCCCACCATCTCTATCAATTATCTCCTTAGTTATTACCAACGCAATATTGTAATGGTGGGTGCACCAGATATGAGAATCTAGCCACCCAAGGAAGGGATGAATTTACTAAGACAACACACTGTCTTAGGAAACAGAGCTAAAGGGTTGTAGCTTAGACTATTCCACAACGCAGCAATCAGGTGTATGATGTGGTGAAGTGGTTTAGACAAGTTGCAACAAATGTTGAGTCTGAGAACTCAGGGGTAAGTCAGAGGTTAGCACCTCACTGACTTTTCAAAAACAGAGAATAACAAGATCAATGCTTGGAAGCTTGGAAAAGACGTAGAAGTATGTGCTAGTCGATTTACTGTATTGTCTGCTTGCCCTTTCTTAAGGAAAGGGCAATCCTATTTATGCTAAAGGAGTGTAGTTCTCTCATTTTCCAAGACTTTCCATGACTAACCAGGCTTGGTAACTGTAGTCGACGTAAGAGAATCCCATAGAACCATCTCTTGGGTTCCTAGCCTATAGGAAGTGAAAAGGAGGTCCAAGGTCAGAGTACCTATAGACAAATTATGTCATAACTTAACCAAGTCTTGTGGGTAACTAAGGACTGATGACGTGTAATGAATCATAGAGGGTTGTAGAAGCTTCTAGAGCTATCGTTCATGTTCCTAGGCCTCTAGTTGGTAGAGATATGCCATGTGGTAGTATTGGCCCACCCCCTTAAGGAGGAGATTTTCTTAATAACTTGTTCAATGAGTGTCCAAATGATATGCCGTGATGTATGTAGCATAAACAGATGTAGTAGAAGAGTTTGCAGCAATCGTTGAGTAGTATTGCTTCTGTTGTTGATGTGATAAGCCAAGATATGTATGTTGACTTGTAGGTTTGAGGAGGAGATTTCTAAGTTTGCTCTTGAGTTTGATAGCAAACTGAGTGCAACGAATGTCAGTATGACATGATCCCCCTTTTAAGGACGTTTGTTGGCTGTCTGCTTGCCCTTTAGCCAGGTGGCTTTCTTAGAAAGAAATTCTAGAATGAGCTTAGATGCATTTTTTAGATTTCTCTTAGGCTCCCAAGTGTTGTCACTTGTAGGATAGCCTTTCCACTTAACGAGGAAGTAGTCCTGACCTCTAAGTGTCTTTTTGTCAAGGATAGATTCTACTTCATATTCTGGTTGATCCAAGATCAGAACAGGAGGTGGAGGAGACTGAAGTGGTCTTAAGGAACTTTCTTGTGCCTTAGACAAGAGAGATGCATGGAAGACATTATGGATAGTCCAAGTAGGTGGTAATGCAAGCTCGAAAGCATTCTTGCCAATAGTCCTTGTGATCTTAAAAGGTCCAAGTCTTTTAGTATCAAGTTTGTCTGAAGGTCTAGTAGTTGTGATATGTCTTCTAGACAAAAAGACTTGATCACCAACTTTGAATTGTGGTGCAACCACCCCCCTGTTAAAGGCCTGAGCCTGCTCGTCTTGTGCACGCTGTATTTGAACCTTGAGATAGTCCTGGAGGCCCTTAAGGTAGATGATTCTTTCAGTAGCAGAAGGGTTTTTGAAATTTTCAGGACAATTCAGTTCTGCCACTTCAAACCTAGGGTGATAACCATAGTTTGCATAGAAAGGTGTCTCTTTTGTGGTGTTAGAGACCGTGTTGTTGTAAGTAAATTCTGCAAGATGGAGAAGATCTGCCCAGTTGTCTTGAGCATAGTTTGTATAAATTCTTAGATATTGTTCAAGTACAGAGTTGACTCTCTCTGTCTGGCCATCTGTTTGAGGGTGATAAGCTGTAGAGAAGCGTTGTTCCATGTTTAAGAGTTTAGAGAACTCCTTAAAAAAGTTTGAAGTGAAAACTGCTCCCCTATCTGAGATCCAGTGTCCAGGAATTCCATGATATTTAAAGACCACCTTGAGGAATAGCCACGCAAGTTTAGAAGCTGTAATAGTCTCATTGCAAGGCTCAAAGTGTGCCATTTTTGTGAGCCTTTCTACCACCACAAGGATAGAGTCATAAGGGGTAGCACCCCCTTTTGGGATAGAAGGAGGCAACTTGACTATAAAGTCAATGGATATGGAGTCCCATGGGCGTTCTGGTATAGGTAGAGGCTGCAAGAGGCCATAGGGCTTTTGCCGTGTAGGTTTGTTCAAGTTGCAAGTAGTGCAAGAAGATATATAGTCTTGAAGAGTAGTCCTTAGACTAGGCCAGTAGAACTTTCTTGTTAGAAGTTCATAAGTTTTTGCAAAGCCAAAGTGCCCTGCAGCTGGAGCATCATGGAACTGCTGTAGGAGGTGTAGCTGTAATCGTTTATCCCTTGGGACATAGATATAGTTCTTGAATAAGAGAAGTCCATGCTGATTTTTTGAGAAATTCTGTAGTCCAACTTTCTCAAGAGAGGAACCTTTCTTCTGGAGGTATTCCAAAGTTCTTTTCGCAAAGGGATCATGGTTGTAAGCATCTTTGAATGCTTTAAGAAGTGTTGCTGAGGGTGTATAGTCTTTAAAGGTCTCTGGTTCCTGAGAAGAGGTAATGGGGGCAACTTGGTCTTGAGGGGATAAGTTTACCCCTAAGTCCTCTGTAGTACTAGGGTTGCTTAAAGATGCTGCTATAAGCTTTGCTGAGTCTAGCAGAGCCTTTGTATTGCTAGTTTTAGCAGAATCTTGGTAGTCATGTCTTCTTGAGAGGAGATCTGCTCTTTGATTCTTGGCCCCTGAGACATGTTTTATAACAAAGTCAAAACCTCCTAGTTGTTCAGACCACCTTGCTTGTCGTCGATTGAGCTGTTTAGTGGTTGTAAAGGTCAAGAGATTTGAATGGTCACTGTAAATAGTGATAGGATAGTTTGCCCCTTCAAGGTAGCATCTCCAATGCTTTAGAGAACATACTATGGCAAGCAGTTCCTTGTCTGTAATGGGATAGTTTTGTTCAGCTGCTGATAGCTTTCTTGAGTAAAATGCCACAGGCTGTAGCTCTTCTTGGTTGTCTTTTGGAGCTTGGTATAAGATTCCAGAAATGGCAAAATCTGAGGCATCTGTCTCAAGAGTGGCAGGTTTCAAGGGGTTAAAGTGTAGTAACATTTTCCCTTCTTTAAATTCTCCTTTAAGAGCATCGAAAGAATCTTGCTGTGTCTTATCCCAGTGATACAAAGTGTCCTTGTGAAGTAATTGAGTAAGGGGTAAAGCCAAGGATGTATATCTTGGTATAAACCTCCTGTAATAGTTGGCAAACCCAAGGAAAGACTGAACCTCTTTAATGCTGGAAGGAATAGGCCACGTTTGTACTGCT